TGACTTGTATCGGTTTATCCAGAAATAACAAGTATAAATGGATTCAGGATAACCAAACTCAAAAAGAGATTAAGGTGGTAAACTAGAACAGAATTTTTAGACTGAAAATGACAAATAGTTTACACCAGAATATTCCTGTAGGCTGCTTTCGACCTTTTCTTTCTAGTAGGAGAGCCCACTCCGGAAACCAAAGTACAATTAGAAGTCTTTCTGGGAGTATATTTACATAATGCAACCAACAAGTGTTGGATGATCTGTAGATAAGGAAACTTTCCATCCCAAATGGAGGTGATGTTCAGTCTTGTTGACAGAGTATCTTACATTTGGGGGTTTATATCTGGTTCTAAAAACGTGGTTGACTTACGTAACTTATTCCAGTAGAGAGAGGAACCAAAAGCAGCAGCAAAATGCTATGCTATCAGGTTTCACCCCGGGACAATTCCGGTGACCCACTGACAAACACCTCCTCTGAGACTGATATGGAAAGATAGTTACCTTTTTTATTCTAATGTATTTCCAATCTGAGTAAGAAATTTCCCAATTTACAGCTAATTATTTTATCATATTTTAAACTATTGGCTTTCTAATAACATTTAGGAAACACTTTTTGTTAGCAGGCAATCCTGGAACCAAAATCAGAATAAATTATTTCCAGAATGTGGAAAGGAAGCTGATGCCCACTGGATCCGCAGGACATGTCAGGCATTTTTAAAAAATAATTCTGTTAACACTTCCTTCCCGTTTGTACAGACGGGGAAACTAAGACTTAGGGATCACACAGCAGTAGGAGCCAGAGTCAGGTTTTGAACCGAAGTCCTCTTCTATCAAGTCCAGTATTCTAGGCCAGCAATCCAGGCACATGTGTCAGGCTGGCTGCTTCAGAATCAACTAAGAAGAAGGTTAGATACACAAGTTTGCAGGCTGATTCAAATCACAACCTCTGAACAGAGGAATCTGTATTTTTTTTTGTTTGTTTGCTGATTCAAATCACAATCTCTGAAGAGAGGAATCTGTATTTTTTGTTTGTTTGCTGCAGGAAAGTCTGATGCATAGTCAGCTATGGGTATCACGATTCTAGCAACAAATTCCCGTCCATGTATCTTACTTCTCATTAACTGCATAGTCAGAGACTGGCCCTCCCCAACACCATCACAGGATTTGGGGAGCTGGAGTTGGGGAGAAGGGTTTCTCCAAGTTTTAAGCCTCTGGCCTTGAACTCCATCTAGTATATTCAGCTATGTCTTTCTGAATTTGTTTTCAAAGACTGAGCAAAAAGTAAAAGAGAAAAGTTGCCTTATCTGAAAAACAGAGACAGTAATCATCCTTTCACAAAATCATTAAAAAGAACAAATGAGATCATAAATTCAAATCTGCTTTTGAATGGCATGAAGTATCATATAATACTGCACCATTAATTCACCCAAAGGTGAATATTCCAAACAAGGAGGAGTGTCATTGTCACTCCTCAACTTAAGTGGAGGAAAAGAAAGTTTAGAACCCAGCTTCTGGGGTAGGCAAACCACAGCCACCTGTTTTTACAAAGTTTGCTGGAACACAGCTAAACTCGTTGTTTATGTATTGTCAATGGCTGCTTTGCAAGCTACAATGACAGAGCTGACTAGTTGTAACAAAGATCTGATGGCTTGCAAAAACTAAAATATTTACCATATGACCCTTTAAGGAAAAGTTTGTCACCCCCTAAAACAGACAGTCATATTCTTTTTAGGCAAACATAAATCAGTGGTACTCAGCTGAACATTCCACATTTTAAGCAAACCTTAAAAACAAAATCTACATGGCTGGATGGGAAGGAGATAGTCCCCAAATTCTGATACATGGAGAGAGTGAGGCTTCCTTTCCTTTGCTGAGGCTAGGTTAGTGCCCCATCAGTCACTGTGACTGATGGCAGCAAGCCTCATCCTTAAGTTATGTTTGGTATATAAACTTCCCCTCCAAAACCTAGTCTCTTTGAGAGTAAAGCCACACTATACTAGAGAGATCAAACGTGTAGCCCACAGACCGTGTGTGTGTGTGTGTGTGTGTGTGTGTGTGTGTGTGTGTGTGTTTGTGTGTGTGTGTTATTTTTTCATTTTTAAAGCTAAGGATGACCAGGGCCAGGCCTAACCTCTGATGCTCTCTGAAGCATTCATACCATGTGGACTCCCACACGTCAGCAGCTTGTTCAAGCTAAACTGGAACCCAGGGTGGAGATGAACAGGCAGCCTCATGGCTGGCTGGCTGCCTCTGAATCCACCCACCTGCTGGTTTTGCGCTCCTGCTGTGTCTTAGGCTCTGTGTGCTGAGGCGGGATGGCCCTGGCCCAGTTGGCTCACATAGCCAACCTGCCCCCAGAGAAATATGCAATCAGGAAGTTGGCAGTAAGCACTCCTGGCTCACCAGGCTCTACAAGCAAATGTCATGTTTCCTTTTCCTGGTATAAAACCTGCAAAAGGCTAAAGTCAATCATCTCCACTTCTCGATGAGAAAGATTAAAATTAAGCCCTTGGGCCCAATACTTTATAGTTTTGTCAAGATATAGATTACCAAGAGCAAGCAATATTATAGTTTCCTTTAAAACATCACCTAACGTAATAGTCATGATTCTAGAAGAAGGAGTTGCCAGATGATTTTCTCCTTTTGATTTCTTCAAACTCATATATATATCTGGATAATAATTTGATGTTGCAACTAATGTCCTCAATCCCTCAGCTTTGTTTTCATTTAAGCAATCCAAAATACATGCATCTAATGTCCCTCCCAATCAGAGAGTGCTCACAATTCCCAAAACCCCTTAGTTAAGGCCTAGGCTTGGAAATAAAACTATAAGTAGGAAATGAACCTAGAGACTCAGTATTTTCTGCTATAGTTTCAGTAAGTAGAAAATGGATTCAGTATTTCCTGCCTTAATTTCTATGTGTTGAACTAGGCTTGATAACAGACATAAATATCAATATATGGATATAAATGTTCATCACAATTTTACTATTGTATAATAATTATTATTTTTTACAAAGTTCAATTCATTTCCCTAACCAAGTCAAAAAACTAACAATGTTGTTATAGTTCAACTTTGGGGTGTGTGTGTGTGTGTGTGTGTGTGTGTATACTTTTAATTTTAAAAATATATTTTTAAAATTTTTATATAAATATATATATTAAACTTATTTTTTTTTAAATAAGGCTTTCATGACACCTAAAATTACAGTAGGGAGAAAAATCATTTTGTCCCCTGAAAAGAGCTGAATTGTATCCCCCCAAAATTCACATGTTGAGGTCCTAACACCCAGTAGCTCAGAATGTATTTAGAGACAGAGTTTTAGAAAATAAAGTTAAATGAGGCCATTACAGTGGGCCCTAATCCAAATCACTGATATCTTTATAAAGAGAAATTAGGGCACAGACAGGCTCACGGGGAAGACCAGGTGAAGACACAGGAAGATGATGGCCATCTCATCTACAAGCCAAGGAGAGAGACCTCAGAAGAAACCAATCCTGGAAATACCTTGATCTCCAACTTCTAGCCTTCAGAACTGAAAAAAATAAATTTCTGTTGTCTAAGCACCCTACCCTGTGGTACTTCTATTATGGCAGCCCTAGCAAATAAATACATTCCCCATCTCCGAAACACTCATATCATAGAAGTGCATGGTGTCTAATACCAGTTTCATTTTCTGGGAAAATTGCTTAAAGTTCTTTGGGCAAAGCTTCTTTCCACATAGATTATACAAGTAAGGCATCAATTTCTGAATTATGAAATATTTTAAAATATGAGAAATTATCCTCTCACTTCTTAAAACTGTTATTTAAATGCTAACTATGGCACAGGTTTTCATTTGGAAGTTTTCCATTTTCTTGCCTTACATAAAAGATTTGTCATTGAAAGTTTAACACAGCTGTCATGTTTTGTTTTGTTTTGTTTTGTTTTTTAAATAGTAACAAGATGAGATATTCTAAATACAATGCTTTGAATTTTGAAAATAGTTTTCTGGGCACCAAATTCTAATATGTAATAAAAGGAAACACTTTTTGAGAACCCAAACTTAATAAAGTTATTTTTTCCCCCAGTATCCATATGATTAACATAAAATTTGGCTTGACTTACATTCTATCATATGCATAACAAAATCATAATGCTTTAACTGAATTAAAGAGAACTTTTGGGAAACCTGCAAATATTGAGGTATACAGAAAAACATAACTGATAAGCGAGATTAAGATTTCAGATTTTTATGCCATAAAATGTTTTCTCTGCTAATGAAAAAGACAAATAACAACATAATAGATGCATTAAATATATAGTTCTAAAATGTTAAAACTAGGAGAAAAATAAAAAGTCACAAGAATAAAATGTTGGGGTTTTTTGTTGTTTTTCGTTTTTGCCTTTCAGAGTAATGCTATTGAGCATCTCATAAGGCCAATTACATAGCAATTGTCCCACAGAGACTATTGTTTAAAGAAATTCAAATATTCTGTATTCTTGGCTGGTGTCCCACAGAGGAGTGCAGAAGAAGTTCTTAAACCAACCATCTCTTCCACTACAAATAAAATACCAATTTGGATTTAATGTTCAAACATCCAAGAATTGTGTTCATGAAATAACTTCCAAAACCGGAAAGTAAAGTTCTTTAAAGTGCTATCTTAAAAAACATTTACAAATAACATGGGGTTATTATTAGGCAATATTAGAAAAACAAAACATTTTTAAGAAAATGAGCCTTTTGGGAAAACAGCAAAGCTGAAGAGTATTTATGATACTGAAGATGCTCAGGCCTCTTGCAAGAGTTGGCCACAGCAATCCAAAACATTTAGAAATATTTTCCAAATGTTACTATTAAAAAGGGAAGGAGGGGAGGAAAAAAAACCAATAAAAACAAAAACCTGGCCCTTAATCATGAACATCCCACTAAGCATTACAAAAGGATTAGATTAGTTCTGTATCTAAACCAACTTCTTTTTTTGTTTTAAAGGGAATAAACACTTTATTTTAAAAATTCAAATATGCTTCAGATGAAAACTCCTGTCCATTTATTAAGCACCCACAGAGTGCCAGGCACTATACAAAACATTAAAAAGATTTATTCATGCTCTTTTAGAGCAAAATTCACTATTCTGTTGCACTTGGCATAATGCTGACATTTTAGATCCATTGTCATAAAACAACCAAGGTCTTCAAGACTTGCTCAAGAAACAAGTTTCCAATCCACAGTAGAAACAGATCACGCAGGTTTATGCAGAAGTCAACTGGTGATGTCTGTCAACTATTTCACTTAATGTCCTCTCCCTCTGAAACCACCACCCCCTCTTCCTCCTCGGAAGCCCCCACCTCCACCTCCTCTTCCACCTCTAAAACCACCGCCTCTGCCACCACCTCTGCCACCTCCTCCTCATCCTCCTCCTCGGCCTCCCCTGCCACCACTTCTTGGAGGTCCTTTCTCACCAGGAGATCGAGGTAAAAACCTCTGCAGTGGCAGCAGCTTATATGGGTCTATATAAAACTTCTGTAGTTTTTTAAAGGATGAAGCCTTCATATTTTCTGACAATTTAACTGAAAAATAAAAATCTCTAAGTTGTCCAAATATTTCATCCACTTTTCCAATTTGTTCTTTGTTTTCTAAGTAAACAGGAGCATTGAAATAAGGCACTTTATTTTCATCTGTGGTACATTTACAAACTATGTCATCTTCACAGGGATGCAGGAACTCTCCTAATAAGACTACACGTTCTGGAGGTCCTTGGTCTTGGCCTTTGTTAAAGCCTCCGCGGCCACCCCCTCGTCCAAATCCTCCCCTGCCGCCGCCTCTGAAATTGCCGCCGGCTCCACCACCGCCTCCACCTCGGAAGTGGTTGCTGCTGCTGCCACGGTTGAAGCCGCCACCTCCACCACCCCGATTAAAGCCTCCACGACCTCCGCCTCGAAAAGACATTCTCTCTACTCCCGGCGCTACGTATAAACCAACTTCTTTAAAAAGTGTAACTCATGGCTGGGTACAGTGGCTCACGCCTATAATCCCAGCACTTTGAGAGTCTGGGGCAGGCTGATTGCTTAAATCCAGGAGTTCAAGACCAGCCTGGGCAGCATAGAGAAACCCTGTCCCTATTTAAAAAAAAAAAAAAAAAATCCAAAAATTAGCTGAGCATAGTGCAAACCTGTAGTCCCGGCTACTTGGGAGGCTGAAGTGGGAGGAACCACTTGAACCCAGGAGGTGGAGGCTGCAGTGCGCCAAAATCATGCCACTGCACCCCAGCCTGGGCAACAGAGTAAGACTGTGTCTCAAAAAAAAAAAGGTACAACTCAAAACAACTTTCTAAAAACTAAGAATTTAGACCAGGTGTGATGGCTCAAGCCTGTAATCAATCCCAGCGCTTTGGGAGGCCAAGGTGGGTAGATTACGTGAGGTCAGGAGTTCAAAACCAGCCTGGCCAACCTGGCAAAATTCCATCTCTACTAAAAATACAAAAATTAAAATTAGCCAGGTGTGGTGGTGGGCGCCTGTAATTACAGCTACCCAGGAGGCTAAGGCAGGAGAATCGCTTGAGCTCTGGAGGTGGAGGATACAGTGGGCCAAGATGGCACCACTGCACTCCAGCCTGGGTGACAGAGCAAGACTCCTTCTCAAAAAAAAAAAAAAAAGAAAAGAAAGAAAGAAAGAAATTAAATTAAATTAAAAAAAATAGATATTCCAGTGTAATGATTGACAGCATGGGCTCTAGAGCCAATCTTCCCAGGTTCATTTACTAGCTGTGTGACCTGGACAAGTTACTTAATCTTTCCGTACCCCAGCTGCCCCTTTCAAAGGACAGAACCATCTCAGTGGGTTGTCGTGAGTATTATGAGTTTCTCTATGTAAAACCTTAGCACAATGCCTCAAATTTGATGTGTTATACAATTATTCGTGGCCAGAATGGGGGCAGAGCAATTCAGAAACCAATCACAAGTAGAGCACAAAAATGTCTGCTGAGGCTGTACTGAACAAACCAATAGAAATTCCTATTTAGGTAGTATCTAAACACATTGGAGAATTTTATTTACATACAATTTTTCCATCAGCCTTACTGTTCTAGAAATTCACATTTTCACTGATCTGAGCTGATCATATATCCACAGTACCAGACTAGGCAAAAGAGCAAATCATTCTTTAAGGTGTTACCTGAAAAAGCTGACCTTATGGTCTGACAATGAAAAGGTAACTGAAGCCTGAATGAAATCATGGTTAAGTGCACATTTAGCTAAAATACCAGCCCACAACATAGCAGGCAAATTTTGTTAGCCAGATTATGGTGAACTACAGAGACCCTCAGTGGTGGTCACTGATGGCCACTCACCCAGATTCAGCAGCAAAACATGGAAAGGGGGACAACACCACTGTGTGGTCCTTGGTTCTGGCACACCCAACTGTCACCACCCAGCACGCCCTAGAGCCTGCTTCTTCCTGTCTGGACCCCTCAGGCACTGTCCCCCAAGATCATTGTGGCATGCACCCACGGCGCCTGGCTAAGGCCATCACCAGTGCCCAACTTTGTGTTACTGTCAACGATAAAGCTGTGAAACTTCTGTAGTAGTTTAAATAATTTTATGTAGACTTGACCGCTCTTTTAAGTATACATATCCAATTTTCATTCTACTTTCTTATCACCTCCTATTCTGACTTTCTCTTCTCTCCTCCAGAAATTGCTTATCGTGAAGTAAACAAACATAAATAAGGTTTTTTGACTAGTTGCGAAACTCCAGTGGTGAACAGTAAACACAGCATTTCTGATGTAATCCCTACTTATATAAACCAGGATGTTCCTGAGAGATTTAAGCTGAAGCTGATTTTCCTCTCTCCTGTTAATGTCCCGAGTGTCCTTGGCCTACTCTGGACATACAATTTCTTAAGCATAAGTACATTTCTCAGCATTTCCTTTGGCTCTAATTCCTTACATGTGGATAGACTGGTTTCGTATATAATCACTGTTTATTTCCATAGTACATTTTCTATCTACTGCAAGTATGCTGCCAAATGTTTAACAAGTCTTTACTTTGAAGCACAAGTCAACAGAAAAAGATGGAGATACACGAAAAGCGAAAGAGACATACTTCTTTTAAACACAAGCTGAATGTGGTTTAACTCAAACTGAGTTTCTGAGCTATACCAAAGCCAGTATGTAAAACCATGCTGACAAAAGCACACAAAGCACTGTAAATAGCAGGTTAACAAATCAACACAGCAAAGCAACATGTGCTTAGGAAAAGCATTCTGCAATGTGCTCTCTATTGTACTAAAGTTGCAAGATAATACATTAAAGAAGTTACATTTTCTAAATTTTGCTTGACCTTTTAATCTGAACTATTCATATTTTTTATTTCAAGAATATTTGAAACAATACTTTTAAGAACTATTTCATTCTCTCCTATATGCTGATAAGAAGTAAGAATGTTCCCACAGTGACTAAGAATTAGCCACTACTAAGAATCAACATCTTTTGGATCAGTAGTAAATCGGCTTGTAAGCAGTGTCAGAATTATTACTCTTGAATTGGGAGAAGCCAAACACCTTCAAATCTTTCTGTTGCTGAAAAATTATCCTCCAACTGCCAAACTAAGAATATATATTAGGCATAGAAACAAATCTGTGTCCAGTTCTGAAGACTTCTATACTACTGCTTGTTTTATGTTTCTGAAACATTTTGCTGTGGGTGATTTATTTCACATCCATGTGGCCAGCCATTTGTTTATTCTATTGCATACCATCTGTTTTTCAGTGGAGAGGTTTCAAGTTCTTCTCATTCCCTACCTCATATCCCACAGAAAACAATTTATAATAGACATAGATTTAAATCATTTGGATTCATGTGGAGCTGGTAACACGAGCTGCCTTTCATTTATACTTGGCAAATGCTTTAATGGGATTAGCAAATTGTGTTATTATGAAGTACTTAGGGAGAGACAACACCTTTTTTTTTTTTAACAATGACAAATGATGTTAACAGTTTCATTTTGGGTGTTTAATAGCAGTACAGAAGATTTCACTAACATTACAGGAAATTGCCCCGATAGACAATGAAGTCCTACTATAAACCTTGTTGGTATCTTTTATTTCTGAGTGTCAACGTAGGTGTTTCAGGATGTACTGGGGTCCACAGTAGTGGGGAGTAAATATCAAGTTGCTTTACTTTTAAGAGGACATTATCATTTTAACCCACACATCTAAAAATACTGCCTGGTGCTTACATGTTGTAAGCATTCTGCAAGCCCTATGACCATGGTCTCACTTGTCTAGGTAACTTACAAGCAAAGGCCGACCCCAGACTTCACCGAAGAACAGTGAATGCCGCAAACTCCAGCTCATCAGCACCAATTTATTCCCATGCTAGGGAGGACTTTGATTCACTCTACAGAAGAGCCAACCATTCAGAGAGACAACGTCTTGTTGAAACTATACAGGTGACATTTAAAGTGTTAATTACCATTTTTACAAGAATCCTTGCTGCTTTCATGGAGAGGAAGCATCTGATGGCAGGACCCGGCAGCTGTCCACAGTTCGTGGCTGACATTCGAAGGCTGGGAAAGGTCCGTCTTGAGGTCTACTTGATTTTCACTAGTCCTTACCAAGTCAGAAGTAGGTTGAGTTGTGGGGCAACTGGCATCCTTATGGATAACTGATGGATTCGGTTTGTTGAAAGTGTTAAATGACATTTGTACTAAAGCTTCATTGATGAAGAATGCGTTTTCATGACATAAGTTCTCAGATCGATTAAGTTCTATTACCTGTGTAAAGAAATATGGAAAAAGTACAATAATTTTTCTAACTTATACAAGTTTCACGAAGTATTTATTCCTGAGAGAATCTTAGGAATCAAGATTTCAGTAAAAGTGAGGTCAAGATTACTACTTTTTTTCTCCCTCCACCACATTCCCTTTTAATGAGCTAGTACCAAAAACTTCAATTTGCTATGCATGGCATATCTTTAACAACAACAACAAAAAACGCAAGAAGTGGCATTTTATGACATTAAAGTGTTTCCACTTTAATCAGAGAAAGCTGCATTTTTTACTTTTTCTAAATAAAAAAGTTGAAAACATATCCACATATACATGAGGAGTTTGCAATAAACACAATTTAGCCAACTTAAAAGGAAAAACAGATTGCAGCATAGACCTTATAAGCTTATCAACTTCTACAATATTATGCACTATCAATAAAAAACATACATGCACCTAACACAGGAAAACAAACTCTGGGGACCAATGGGATTGTCAAGCATGGTTTTAAAAGATGCAAACAGCTTGGTAGCTCACGCCTGTAATCCCAGCTCTTTGGGAGGCCAAGGTGGGTGGATCATGAGGTCAGGAGATCAAGACCATTCTGGCCAACATGGTGAAACCCTGTCTCTACTAAAATACAAAAAAATTAGCCGAGTATGGTGGCATGTGCCTGTAGCCCTAGCTACTTGGGCAGTTGAGGCAGGAGAATCTCTTGAACCCAGGAGGCAGAGGTTGCAGTGAGCTGAGATAGCACCACTGCATTCCAGCCTGGCAACAGAGTAAGACTCTGTCTCAAAAAAAAATAATAACTTTTATTAGTGAAATGCATTTTGAATTTACTATATCAAATTTAAAAAGAATAAGCTCGACATAACAGAATAGTATTATACTTGCTAAATTCAGTGCCTGTAGTATATATTAATAGTTAATTGATCTTCTAAAAGCTACATCTACATAGAATTCTTAAGACACATCATATCAAGAGAGTCCTTCAAATACTGGGAAAAGACCTTGCTCACAGTGAACGTGCCTTCAGGACAAACCCACCCTGGCCTTACTAGGACAACTCGATTCTATGTTTGGTCCTTAGGGAAGGGCGTCTCAGACAGAATACAGTGATCCCATAGAACCTGGGCCCTCACACTGTCCAAATTTTAAGTCAAAATGGATATGCATTATCTCTGAAAGCTTCCAGCTTTGGCTACCTACAAATTGAGAAATCCTCATGAGCTCTTACACAAGAACCAAAAAGACAGACGTTTGGTTAGTGTTCCAAGAGCTCTCAGGCCCACCCCTGTCTTGGAGAGGCTGCCTCACCGCATCCCAAAGGTCCATACCTCCGGGCCATCAGGAAGAAATGCCGCGGGCAGGCTTCTCTGCCGGCCTTGCTTCCAGTGGCTCAGCAGGCTCTGCTGGGCCCGCATCCTTGCCCGCTCCCTCTCCACCAGGCGCTGGCCCTCCCTCAGCCGCTCCAGGCTGTGCTGGTACTCCTGGAGCTGGAGGTCCAGCTCGCCCCGGCTCCGCAGCAGCAGCAACTCCTGCGACTGGCACTCCCGCTCCCGCTCCTGCAGCCAGCTCTCCCTGGCCACCTGCGCCCGCTGCTGCTGGTCACACCTGCGGAGCCAGCGCCGCTGCTCCTGCTGGAGCTGGTGCTGGAGCTCGTGCACGTTGGCCAGCTCCTCGCGCTGCCTGTCCACGTCGCGGGACTTCTGGTCCTGCCAGGGGCCGCCTCGTAGGACAGAGTGGCCGGGAGACAGGCCCTCGTGCTGCTGGAGAACCAGCCTGTGGATCTCAATGTGGCTGTCCTGAATGGTCAAGGCGGCCTGTCAGAGCAGACGGAGGAAAAAATCACTCAACACAGGTTTCCATTGTTATTGTTTACCCTTTCGGTTGCAACTACCTTGAAACACAAAACCCAGGCCCGAAGTGGTTTCTCTGAATATTTTTCTGGCCTTTTTCTAACTTACATCCAAACGCAAGATTTTTGGCATTCCAGATAGACTTGTCTACATATGTCCTAGGGGCATGACCTGTGAATTTACAGAGAAAAGAAACAAAGCCCAAAAGCAGTATCATCCTCTCCCCTGGAAACATAGTTTGGTGCTGGTTGTTGGGTGAAAGTTAAGCAAGTCTCCTGAATATAAACTCAGCACATAAATTCACAGGCTGTGCATTCCTGTTCTACACCTCAGTCTCTTGCTGAGGTCTCCCTAGTCAATCATTCATGAGAACTTAAGAATCCACATAAACCTAGTAGTATCCTTTATTTGAGTCCCAAACCAGAAATTACTTGAGTTACATTGCATTAGGAAGACATAAAAATAAAAATCAACTATTTGGAGACTTTTGGTAATGTTTTTATAACGTAATGCCCAAGAATAGCAGTTAATACCATTTTTAGGAGATACGTAAGTGGCTAAAGCTAGTCTGATTACTGTTATATCTTTGTATTATAGCAGGAAGGTCATGCATAAAAAACTAAGCTGAAATTTATTTGTTTAATAGATCGCTAACAGGAGGCTGAAATGATTAAGGGAAAATAGATACTCTAAAGCCCAGAGGACATTACCAACCAGATTAAAAAAACATTTTGAGTGATGATATCTGCCTATGAAAATTTTGGCAACATCACAGGAAATAATTACCAAGATTTGGAAGGATTCCACAAAACCAAAAAGATCTCTGTGAATGCCCTTGGAAGCTTTTAATTTTAAAAGTTCTCATTCAGAGTGCAAAGCAGTACAGAAGGGACAAATTGAAAATGGACACATACTGGGTATGTGTGTATGTTTTGACTCCATATGAGAAATCATTACTCTCCTAGGGATAAATTCACATTTTTCCTTCCTAAGAATTTTTTAAACTGTCCATATAACAGATGTTGGGAAGATGGGGATTTGACTGTAAGTTCTTTGTCAGCTCAGCAGTTTCCTATATTTTTGCAAGTTAAAGAACTAGGGTATTTTTTAAATTCATTCTTGTCTTGGAATACAACTCAAAAATGTATTCACTGGGGCCTTTTGGAAAAAAAATTTATATTTTTAAATTTGGAAATTAATCTTTAAAATTTTAGACACATGAATATTTGATTAATGGCTTTTGGGAGTTGTTATAATAAAACAACGATTAGCATTCAGAATATGTATTAATTACTATAATCTTTAGGAAATAATTAGCACACAACGATAAACCACTCAGGACCCTGTTGATCTGGCTAAAGAAAACTGTAGATTGTACATCACCACTTAATTCTAATAAATCCTAACGTACCAGTATACGACAAACAAAAATCCAATACTTTATATGTCAAAACTACCACAGATAATAACTCTCACGTAAGGGTTACTATGCGCTACCACGAGGTGTTCTTCATGTCTATCTAACATTTGGGATAAGGCCATTGTTCTTTCTTGCATAGAGGTGGAATCTGAAGATTGTATATTCATCTAAATATCCATTTAAAGCTAAATGAATATCTAATCTTCACACTTAAAATTTATATCTATATTTAGGACAGTGAACAGCACTTGCTTTTCAAGTTTAGGGAATTTCCCAATTCACTCTCTTAACTTTACTTTGCTAGAATATCTGTGTCCTTTCCTTTTTGCTCTGCCTATGCCTCATTTCTAACTCTATTTTCCTGCCGTAGGGATCAAATTTCATTCTAACTGATTCAAAATTGCTTATGTAAAAACTTCAGTCACATGTAAGACATTCAGCTTCAAAAAGACAACTGGGCCATGAACAGCAATCTTTCAAAGCCCATGGCCTTGGACCAGCTCAGAAGCTTTGGTTAAAGAATTCACTGTAGACTTTGATATTTCCCGTATTGGTTTAATCTAATGTGTTACAAAAATTGGGTCATTCAGGTGATCAGGCTTTTCTGAACCTTGAATCTACACAGGGCTCCATTCAGAGTTGAAAAGAAGAGACGAGACATTGTGACTATTTTCATCAGGCAAAACAAGCCAGATGCTCAATGTTCTCATCCCCCAAGTTAACGGCTGGTGCTCAAACTGTGTCCCTTCTTAGCTGACATTTAAAAGAAAGATTTTTTTGTCTTACATGATAAATTGATTTCTAAAAACATCTACCCGGAACCGCACATCTAATGTACAACACTAAAAGTAAGCCAAGAAAATGAAATTCACATAATTATTGATGAATAGCCATAATATCATTATTTTCAAATTTTTATTTTCTACCTGAAATATTTCAAAAAATAAATGGAAAAACTATTAAAACAAAAAATAAAGTTCAATGAGTTGGCCAGTTACAATATAAATACCCCAAAATCAATACCTTTATTTATATTAGCAATAACCATTGGGGACACAGAATGAAAAAAATATTTTATCCACAATAGCAGCAAAAAGACATATGAATAAACCATGAAAAAATGTATATATATATATATATATATATATACACACACATCTGTCATACTATATGAAGACAATTACAGCCGGGCCCAGTGGCTCACGCCTGTAATCCCAGTACTTTGGGAGGCCGAGGCGGGTGGATCACGAGGTCAAGAGATCGAGACCATCCTGGTCAACATGGTGAAATCCCGTCTCTACTAAAGATACAAAACATTAGCTGGGCATGGTGGCGCGTGCCTGTAATCTCAGCTACTCAGGAGGTTGAGGCAGGAGAATTGCCTGAACCCAGGAGGCGGAGGTTGCGGTGAGCCAAGATCACGCCATTGCACTCCGGCCTGGGTAACAAGAGTGAAACTCCGTCTCAAAAAAAAAAAAAAAAAAGACAATTACAAAGCTCTCCAGCAAATCATAAAATAAGAGATGACAGATCAATGATCTTACATAAGACAAGTAAGTGATTATGGTAAAGGTGTTGATTCTCTCCAATTTAATTTATAAATATAATGAAATTTTTATTTAATGGTGTTGGCACAAACGATAAGAAACTTGACAGTGATTTAAAAACCTGTGGTACTGGGTGCAGTGGCTCATGCCTATAATCCCAGAACTTTGGAAGGCCAAGGCAGGTAGATCACTTTGAGCCCAGGAGTTTGAGACCAGCCTGGGCATCATGGTGAAACCCTGTCTCTACTAAATATAGAAAAACTCACCAGGCTTGGTGGCATATGCCTGTAGTCTCAGCTATTTGGGAGGCTGAGGTGGGAGGATGGCTTCAGCCTGGAAGATGGAGATTGCAGTGAGCTGAACTGAGATTGTGCCCCTGCACTCCAGCCTGGGTAACAGAGCCAGGCCCTGTCTCAAAACAGTAAATAAAAAATAAAAGCTAGTATGGAAGAATACATAAACATGCATAGAAAAATAAATAAGACTAGCACTGTCATATATTTAAATGTAATCCAAAGCTTTAACAATTCAGATGTTGGCCCTAGAGCAAGAATAAAAGGCAATAAGAGAAAGTCTAGATGGAGTCAGTCTAAATAACAAAACATCAAATGCGCATGCCTTTATATTTTCTGGTGAAAACTTAGGCTTCCTTTTATTTTCTTTTAAATTCAACAAGATATGAAGCATGAATGAATAATAAACCAGTGGGGTGGGGGAATGTTTTGTCTCAGTAGTAATCAAAGAAGTACAAATAATCAGATACCCTAAACCATCTTCAAATAAAAGAGAAAAAGAAAGAAGTTTGGTTGATTTGATTATTTTAGCAATGTCTATTGAAAAAAAAATTATTTATCCTAAGGAAATAGATATGTTCAAAGAGATTCGTACACAAGGATGTTGTTAGTAATACAAAAGTGCAAACAGTAAAGGATTGAAAACATAAACCCCATAGGCTTGAATTTAATATATAGTCATTAAAAAGCATGCTACAGAATAATAGTTGATGACAGAGAAAGTTACACATTACGGAAGAGGGCACAGAAAACAATTCTAAAATCGGGAGCCTTGTACACAAACATGATAATTTTAATTTTTTGTAGAATCAGAAGTCATTTTTTTCATTTACTTGTATTCTCAAATTTTTCTACAAATTTTTCAACAATCCAAACAGTGCATGCATTTCATTTCAGAATATATTTTAATGAGTGAATGAAGCAGTCGGACACACTGAGCCTCTTTCTTGTCCACAGCCTACGGTAGTGACCTCCAACCCTTTTGGCAGCAGGAACCAGTTTTATGGAAGATAGTTTTTTGTTTTTTTTTTTTAATGGATGGGGTGGGGTGGGGTGGGAACAGTTTCAGGATGAAACTGTACCACTTCAGATCATCGGGCATCAGGTTCTCATAAGGAGAAGACGACCTAGATCCCTAGGTTGCGTGCGCAGTTCACAATAGGGTTCGCGTTCCTATGAGAATCTAATGCCACCACTGATCTGACAGGAGGCGGAGCTCAGGCGGTACTGCTTGCTTATCCCTGGCTCACCTCCTGCTGTTTAGCCCAGACAGGTATGACTCTGCGCCCTGGGGTTTGGGGACCCCTGGCCTAAGGGATCATCCAACCATTTAATCCTAAATGCACGCATGACTTTTACGTCTGTTTTTCCTTGAAAGACAGTAAGCTGTTTGAGGGCAGGCAGTGTGGCTCATTTGCCTTTGTGTGCTCAGCCCTCAGCATCGTCAGCACGGAGACAGGCACTGTGTGTTCAACCCTTCAACATTAATAAATTAACAAATGTCGAGTGGATGAATAAACAAAAGAGTAAAGCAACACATGAATTACTTAACTGCTCTAAAGGCTGGTGGCCACATGGAGAAGTCAAAAGAGTTTAGGTGTGAATTTAAGTTTTCACCAGAACATGTGAAGTCATGTTATACTCACCTAAGAGTTTCATTGTAAATGTCAGGCCAGATCATATTCATCAATATTTTTTAAAGATATGAACTGTTTTATGATTTCAGAGAAGAATGACATAAAACGTAGTGATGGTGTTGCCTTTGATTACAAAACCATGTGAGTCCAAACATCACATTTAGAAGGTTGGCATTTTCTTAAGAGCATTCCCTACCTCTCACGTGTTCTCGTTTTTAAAGTCTGGGAATCATCAAAGTGAGTTGCATTAGGAGAAACATTCACAAGGTCAAAGATTAGAGGAGGTAGTTACCTGAAGGCTATATAGGAGACGGGTTAAATTTTGTATGGCTTGTATAATCTGAAAAACAAAATTGTAAATGTCAAATTCTTGAAAAAGCTTTCATTATCCACAAATAAAGGCTGGTGATACATTTAAGGTATGTGCAGCTCACCTCTGACTGTGAAGAACCTGGAATATTTCTACATTCCACCTAAAATACACAAAAAACAAGAAAATGAATAACCATTCTACTTTTGAAAAGCTGCCCTGTAGTGTTCCAAAACGTACAACCTTGGGTAAATCACTTTGCTGTCTCTAAACTTGATTACCTCATCTGTACTGACTTGGTTTCCTCCCAGAGATAAAAGCCCATAGAATTAAACGAACACTTGACAAGGAGAGCGTCCTTCCTGCAAAATTGGTGTTTGAGATGCATGGCAATTTTCACCCAATCATTCCCTAAAACAACAGGGGATGACAGTAAGGAAGGCCTGAAAATTCAAGTGACGGAATTTACCTTGTGCAAACCACAATGTGAATTAAGTTCTCTGTGCCCAGATTGAAGTTGTCTTTTGGGCCAGGCTGACCTCTTATATTCTAGAGGCCAGATTGGAAGTTAAAGAGTATCATGTCTGGCCTTGACTCCTTTTCTCGGTGTTTGCGATTCACGATATCAAAATATACAGCAGCTGGGAAAAGAAACCAGTCTCAGACCCTGCCCACCGGAGAGCGCCGACCCTACCACAGTCAGAGACCACCAGACCAGGGGCTGCCTTAGTACAAGTACTAGCAGCAGAGGCCACGAACGAGCCACAGGAGGCCATCTATTCTTTACGGACAGGGTCTATGCCTCATTCTTTGTCTCTTTCACAGCACACATTCAAGGCACATGTGGATAGTGATGGTTTGCAGTCGCCAAAATTGAACATTTGTTATTCATTTCTTGTCTGCCTTTTCTCCCTAGGATGCAAACCAGTGAGTAGCAGGACTTTATCTGTGTACTCCATATTATAAGAATGGTGCTTGACATAGCATAGACACTCAACAAGTGAATGACTCTAAGTCGAACTTGATGGCACACCGTTCAATAAATAAATATCGATCACCCACTGTAAACTCCACACCTTATGCTAGGGGAGACCATCAGATGCCCTGTCCTCAAGGGCCTACAGTCTCCTTCCTGTATGCTGCTTGCTTTCATCTGGGCACCTATAATTTTAAGCCATAAAAAGCAGCCAGCCATGGTCATGTTCTCAGGTAAGTTTGAACTTGTTAAATTCAATTAGTTTAGGTTGATGCCATGATGAGCTAGCCAGACCTCTGCTTCCCCTGCACTGGCAATTAAAGATTTCACTCTTAAGCAGCACCTCTGATAGAGAAAGGACAGAAGCTGAAAAAGGAGAGAAAACCTAAAGGCATTAGACCTGAGCCCACCCCTATGGGAGAGAACAGGCTCTAAGAACTCCCGCCCCACAGGGAGTGTTAGCATTCTCGCTGCTCTTCTGGCTCTGTCTTGGCCCATCCACACGCCACTGCTTCTGTAGTAAGACCATATGGCATAGAGTTTTTATAGTCTATAAAAATTAGAACCATAGAAATGAGTTGGACTGTGCTACCTGTGGTTACTTATACCCAAAAGCCACTAGGTTTGACACGACAGGAAATTTCGCGTTTTTAATGGAGTTGTTCCGCCACCTTGTGGTACATATTTAAAACTGCAGTTGGCGATTTCTCCAGTACTTCTGCATTCGGGTTAGATTTCATTTTTTTTTTTTTTAATTCTTTCAGAAATTTGTTCTAACCTTACCTATCAGAGGAAGCTAATGACAAAATAACCATTATACACCTTTTAAAGGTTTGGCTTCAAGTGATCCTTTACCGGAGTTTATTAATTTATTATTTTTTCAAAATGTTTTATTAAGAGCAGCATTTTGCAGATAGCTTAATCCAAAGAAGAACCTGGACAGTTAACCTCACTTATCTACCTGTAACTGAACTGGAATAGGAGAGGGAGGCTTTAGGGGTAGGAGCCACCCAACTTTCCATTCAAGATTAACCTATTACTGACCCATTCACTTTTTCTTTTCTATGAACACAGTTGGACACCACAAACTTCACACTTAAAAGTGAAGTCTTCACTGAAAAGAATGAAAAGCAGAAACATTTTAAGAAGCAATATTTTTGAAAGTTTACAATCGGAAGGAGCAAAATATTACATTCTTATGCTCATTTTGGCCTGTGAAGTTTAAAAAAGAAACACTTAATCGCAGCTGTCTTTTCTCTGGATTTTAAAAAATCCTTGACTTGCTTTCTCAGTCCTATGTAATATATACAAAAAGTATAGAATAAAATATGTTGTATATGTAAGAGAAGATCTGATATTTGACATTTTTTCACATTGACACATATTGGCACCTAGTAATGTATCTAATTCAATTTTAGATGAAGCTAAACTCTTGGAGCCCCAGACAAGCCCGAAGAGGCCAACTAGCCACCTCCCAGAATCATATTTTATTCCTTCCCTGTTTCTGACATCTCACTTTCAGTGGATGTTAACAGGAAGTTTTATGTATTTAATTCTTAAAGAGAGAGTTAACACCTATGTATACAGCAATAAGTCAAAAAGGAAGCATTTAGAATCACTGTGCCCCAACCAAAAACTGGTCAGATTAATTAAAAGTTGACCACAAAAAAGTAGGTGAAATGTGGGTGATGACAAGAAATCACCTCTGCAAGGAGAGGAGAGTCAAGGAAGGTGGAAGAAGAATAGTCCAAAGAAAAAGGTGTTTCAATTACTTTGGCGCCATCTGGTTGCAAAAGGGCCGCAGGTGCCAGAGCTGCCAAACATCGTGGGTGAGAAGCAAAGGTCTGCAGGGCGGGAAGACCAGAAGTCAGAGAGCACAGACACACATATACACGGGAGAGCTTTTAATCTTTTTAATCACTTTTCAATCATTGCTTTGTTTACACCTACATGACATTAGAAGTGCAAGCACATTTGAAGAAGAAATCAGAAAGTTTAAATATGAATATTTAAATCAATCAAGAACAATTCAGAAAAGCACCTTTGTCCCACCCACTGCCGTGACAGACCAGAACCTGAGGCTATTTTATTATCTACAGTAACCGCTGCCACTGACTAACAAATCAGTTCACAATACCTTCTCCCCTGCATCAGAGACGGCCAAGTCGGTTACCACACCCTGGATCCCGGGATCCACATCCGAACAGCCTCTTCCTTCTCTCCCTCCTGTGACTAGTGCTGGAAGCACGCCATCGGGACAGAAACAGAAAGGACAGTGTCAAACATCAGCCAGCCGACCGGGTTCTTCTGTGCATGGCTGACACATGTTTCAAAACAAGAAACGTCACAAAATAACACATATGGAGTATTCTTACATGAGGTGCTTGCATGAGCACGGAGCAATGCGAGCGGCCCCTGCCCGCATGGGGCTTACACGCTAATAGACAGCAAGTGACAAACGGCACAGATTACCGCCCTCTTTGTACTTTTGTTTCTTGTGCTGCCATGTCTGTGTGTTGTCTGTCGTACAGAGGGTAGATTCTACATCTCACTCTCCCTGAATAGGAAAAGCCTCCTGGGAAGGGTGAAATTTAAAACAGGTGCTGTAGAACAAAAGCAAGGTCTCTTGGCAGACTCAAGGCTGTAAAAAGCCTCCCCTGCGACCAGAGCAAGAGCAGCAGACAATAAACAAGGTTTAGAGGGAAGGAGGAGTCCGAAGCAGGAGGAAGACATCTTTCTAGGAAGATCTCACAGTCATACAAACCAAGAACCTGTCCCTATCTCTGAATAACTTACTTTTTAACAATTTCCAAATGTGTTTTTTCTCATGTCTTGTTTATGCTTTAAATTTACAAATACTATATATTTAACCTATTAAAACATAGAAACTAGCCCAGAAATATTTTTAATTACCAAGTACAGATTTCACTTCATCCATTAAATCTTTGTTGGCAGGATTTTGTTTATTTCTTTACCTGTGTGAACTCAGTTAAAACTTAAACTGTGCCCACCTTGCACTGATTAAAACTAGAATTTCAAAGCCCAAAATACAATGTTTTATTAGAACCATGTTGAATCAGGACCCTGACAAAATCAATATTCACTTTGTAACACTGTTTGTATAATTTCTTATTGTGTCATCTTGAAACTTTATTTCTAATAGAGGAAATGCTTTTTTCTTTAAATTAATAAAAATACTTATGTCTTTGGGAAATGAGAGTCCTCCAGGATTCCAAAGGCCTCTTCTAATACAAAGTTTTTGTCTAAACAGAAACTGCTTCAGATGAGATCACCTGAAAACAAGTCTATTTTGTTCAAGCTGATCAGCACTTGTTCACTTATAGTGAAGGGACATTATGTAGGTTTCTCTGTCATTGGAAAAATGGTTCTGCTGTAGGGTACTATCCCTAGCTCTTAAAGAGTGGCCAAAGGCATCACTAAAGAATTTGCCATTCTGTTTCTCACTCCTTCATACAAATTAGGAAAAGCAAATGGGAAAGAAGCTGATGACAAGGCAGAAGAATGAAATACAGATCAGGTCCCTGTCCCCGTATCCAATTTCAGGGGGGGACGAGAGGGTCCCCAGTGGACAGAACTTCCCTAGAAGCAGATGATACTCATCATGTATACCAAAGACTGAAAATAGAGGGCCCTGCTTGGCTTATAACCGCAGACGGACATGAGCCTGATTCAGAAGAGCTGAGTTCTCAGTCACTTGCAGAACCAGCCCGTTCAGTTACAGATGTAGACTTTCATTTCCAGGGATAACCTTGTGCCTTTAACAACTTTATAAAGAGAATCAGACTCACAGCACCATGTTCCAGTCTAACCCAGAACTGAAGAGGCCTTGGGGTCCAGGACCCCACTAGCCTGCTTCTCTACTTCCTCTACCTGACTCCTGGCATCAGACTTCTCTAAAGAGCCTCTCAATGTTCTAGCAAATGCCATGGGTGTCCCTTTGAAACTCTCCCCAGTCGTAACAGATGTGGTTACAGACGGGGAGACCTTCACTGCCTGGCCCGCGGGGAGGAAGGCACGGCTGCGGGCTCGGGCAGCTGCGGAGCTGAGCGGAGCCTCTCCAGCTGTCCCTGGGGCGAGGCTGAGAGCCGCAGATCCCCGTGCTTATTTTTAGACAGAGCCTCCTCAATGGCATAATGAGGCTCTTCTTTTAAAAGGAAATCACCGAGGGCAGTACAACTCCCCTGATGAATCTGGGCTGTGTCAAAATGAAAAACATATGTGTGCATTCCGAAAATAGAAACCCGGGATTAGATAAAGCAGAACTTGAGAGAGGAAAATAATTAGTGGTACTGGTGTTTAAAAAAGGAAAAAAGAAGTATAGAATTAAAACACTATACTGCATTTATATATCTTAATCAAGGGATGTTGCCAAAGAAGTTCTGAGTTCAATTTAATCTTCCAGTCTCTAACTACTAGAGACACTGTATCCATTTTACCTCATACACATAAGACCTTATGGAAGTGAGGTTGTTACTACCTGTACAGTATAAAAAATATCCTCTTTATGCTCTTATCTTAGAGACTTTTTTGGAACTAAGCAGCCAACAACTATACATATAACAGGAGAGCTAGGTTCTGGGAAATTACCTAAACCAGATCTCTACATTCTATTTTTTTATATTTAAAAGGTACTGAAACAGTGTTTTAATAAATGAATTGTGACATGAACTAAAGTGTAGGATGGCACAGATCAAGAATTTTCTGGCACTTCTGCTTTAACCATACCACCAAACTCCGGGTGTGAGAGAGAGAAAAGAAAGGGGCGGGGGAGGCGGAAGGAGCTGTGTGTGTGTCTGGTTTTCTGAGTCGTTTTCTCCGTGGATGCACGTGAGATTAGGTTTAAGGGCTTGTTCGCTAATTGACTGCAGGGACTCCTTTTTAAAAAGCCAGAAAAGTTAAAAAGTTCTTTCAAAACTGTATTCAATAAATCACATCAGAAATGAGGCAGGGCAGGAGTTGGGGAAGGTCAGCGCTCAGCTGGAAAACAGAGCAGTGTAACTCACCGACTCCTCTTTAGGTCCTCGGACTTGAAACACCAGTGTCATTATAACACGCATATGATAGTCATTTAGGCTAGCATATTTATTCTCAGTTTTTTTCTCACTTAAAGAAATATGACAAATCCCCTTCAAACAGAGACAGTCTCTGCCTTTATTTTATGTGGCCACTATCAGCTCCAGGGGCTGTGCTCAGGCTCACTGCCAAGGCCTGCATTTTCACTTACAGGCAGTCGGCAATCCTGGTGCGTCCTGAGAGCCGAGCGTGTCCGTCAACACAGGGTCTCCACAACTGTCCTCGCCTGACTGACTCCCATCGCCCATCTGTGAGGCCTTCACTGCAGCTTGTAGGCTCTCAGCTAAGACAAAGAAAAACAAAAATAAGTCTGAAAAACAAAGCTAGGTATATATTTAATCTAGACCAGGAGCTGGTAAATTGCATTTGGTCTGTCCCTGCTTTTGTATGACCCAGGGGCTAAAAATGATTTTTTTCTTTTTTTTGAGACAGAATCTCTCTCGCTCTGTCACCCAAGCTGGAAGGCAGTGATGTGATCTCATCTCACTGCAACCTCCACTCCCCCGGGTTCAAGTGATTCTCCTGCCTCAGTCTCCTGAGTAACTGGGATTACAGGTGCACGCCACCATGCCTGGCTGTTTTTGTATTTTTAGTAGAGATTGGGGCTTCACCATGTTGGTCAGGCTGGTCTCAAATTCTTGACCTTGTGATCCATCTGCCTCGGCCTCCCAAAGTGCTGGGATTGCAGGTGTGAGCCACCGCACTTAGCCAATTTTTACATTTTTAAAGGTTGTCAAAACATGAAAAGTGCCTGTGCACACACATACACATGCACACACACACAGCTGCGTCCCAGAGACTATGTGATTTACAAAACCTAAAATCTGGCCCTCTGTAGGAAAAGTTTGCAGAGCTGTCATCTACACCAATACTTTTAGCATCATTTTACAATAGAGAATTAACTCAATAAAAAGCTATAAACCCATGGTATAAAAATATCTCAAATGCAACTTTTAGCAAATTAGTATGCCTAAAAACTTCCTGTCATTCAGTTAATTTAAATATACCAGACATTAAAATTTTAAAACTTGTTACTCAGAAATATTAGCTATTCCTCAAAAGAGTATTTCCCTACGCTTGTCTTTAGAAAGACAGATTCCCAACCTTTGCTCTGGACTTACTGGATTTGATTTTCTGGAGGAGAAAGTAGGATATGTAGTTTAAACAAGTGCCTGTTCTAGGGGCTAGAGGGCACTTGACAACTAAGAGGGGCGTTCACAGATTGCAGGAGGAAAGAGACAAACACAACCCGCTAGACTGCAGAGAAGCATGTGATCCGCACTCACCTCCGTCGGCATTATTAGAACATTGTAAGTGCTACTGCAGCATGGAGGAGGAACCGCATTCTAGTAGGGTTCGGAATATGTTTTTACAGGAGGTGAAAACTGAGCAGGACCTGGAAGTCTGGATGGATTTCAAGAGGCAGAGACAGAAGACAAGAAAGGAAGGAGGAAAAGCCTCCCGGCAGAGTGGAGTCTCAGGGAGACTATTCAAGGTGCACTACTGAGCTGGCTCTTTGTCAGATGATAACTACCTCACCAGGATAAGAACTCCTGCTCTATCTTTTGGCTGCAGTTGGGGCTGGGTGGTTAGTGATCCAGGGTGGATTATCCCACTGCACCTCATGCAGCACAACCATTGCTCTGAGTTCTAAGCAGCTGGGTCCACTGCTGCTTCCTGGCACCTCTGTTACAGTGTGCCAGAGGGATGGAAGCAGATGGGCATACAACCCAGGTTTAGTCAAAGTGTTGGTGGGGGAGAAAATTAAAACCACTGGCTAATATTGAGAGTGGGTGATTTATTTGATCAAGGCTTTATCAAAGATAATGGGGGGGGGTCACTGGTTCTTGTCAACCCATTTGGAAGTTTTTTGGGGCTTTCTTTCTAAAATACATCTTGACTCGGTCTACTTTTCTCTGCTTCCATCATCAATGGTGCTGGTCTAGACCAAGCCTCATCTCAACTTCTGTGATTGCTTCCTAACAGATCTCTAGGCAGATTTGCCTCCCTCCAGTCTCCTGTCCATTCAGCAGCTAGTGTTCTAAGACATAAATCAGATCACTCCATACCCATGATTAAAAGCTTCCAATGCCTTGCCATCCTATTTGGAATAACATCCTCTTTTGTAATTATTGAAATATGGCCTACCATGATCTGATCCCAGCCTGCCTGACCCACACCACCTCATCTAATGGAGACCCCCCGACATCTGCCACCCAGGCCTTCTTGCTTTCCTTGAACATGTGAAGCTCATTGCAGCCTCAGGGGCTTTGCATTTCCTTCTCTCTGCCCAGGGATCATCCGCCCCAAGCTCTCAGACAGCTGGCTTCTCATTTCTCAAACCTCATCTCGAAGAGAGGTCTTTAGGCTAACCTCTTTGATGCTCCACCTTATCACAATCCCATTATCTTTAGGATAGATAACTATGTGAAGTTATCTTTTCTCCTTGAGTATTGTCTGTCTTTCCCCACTAGAAGTTTTACAAAAGTATTACTGCCTCCCTAGCACCAGCAACCATGCACAGGTAGATGCTCCATGCATATGTGATAAACAGATGGATGGGGGGGGATCTATCCATGAATCCTACTTCAGACCTCTACGCCGTTCTCAAGACCTCAGTTTCCTCAACTGGGAAACTGAGGCTGATTCTAAAATGGCTGATTCTAAGATTTCTAAATTCTCTTCCAGAGCTAATATTCTGAGATTCTAAGCCAGAGGCTGGCAAACATTTTCTGCAAAGAACCAGTTAATAGTTTAGGTTTTGTGGACTAAATACCCTGTCAAAACTGCTCATCTCTGCCACTGTAAAAAAAAAAAAGTAGCCACGGTCAACACAAACAAGCAGATGTGGCTGCGTTCCCGTAAAACTAAACTTACGAAAGCAGGTGGTGGGATGCGTGTACTCCGTGGTCTGTGTGCACTCCGTGGTCTGTAATTTACCAGCCCTTCTTCTGCACAACAGCATTTACTGCTACTCTCTCAGGAGGTGGCTGGTTTATCTCCCAAGCCCTTTGTCCCACTGTCACTTCCAGACCTTTATCTCCACCTCTCCCTTCAACTCCTTTCTGCCTTGAAGCTCCTGGCCTCAGGTTACACGCTCACTACCACTGCTTGCTGCCTTTCCTCTGCAGACCTTCAGCCACACGCGTGCCTTCCCGGAATGAGCTAGCACACACCGCACAAGTTCTCCCCCTCCCTCTAATGCTAATCCTGCCAAAGTTATCAGTAATTTCAATTCTATGAACTTAGTCCTTCCACCACCCTGGCCTCTCATCCTCCGGACTTTCTCATCTCCAATGACCTTGCCCTTCACCCGACCTCGGCCACCATCTCTCAGTGCTATTACCAACATCTGCACTTTTCCCCCTTAAGTCTATTCTCCCCACAGCAGGCAGGGGATCCTTTCAAACCACAAGTCAAGTCACTCCTCCACTCAAAACTGTCTAATGCTCCCCATTCCACTCTGGATGAGATCCCAACTCCTTCTCTCCAGCCATGCAACCTGAGACCCAGTGAACCCTGGACTGATTGCCTGCACTGCTCACCCCACCCTCTCTTCCTTCTGCCTGTGCTGTCCCCTGCCTGCTCCTCAGGTGAGCCTGGCGATTCCCTGCCCCAGGACCTTTGTGCCCACCGTCCCCTATGCCTGGAAGACTCTCTCCCCAGATATCACTTGGCTTTCTTCCTTCATGTCCACTTACCTATCGTTATATCAAAGGGGCTGTCCCTGACTACCCTATCTAAAATAGAGCCACCCCAAATCATCACCCTCTTTCTCCCTTGTCCTGCTTATTTTTCTTCATAGCATTTGAGACAATCTGACATATTTATTTCTTTATATTTGGCTGTTTCTAGAATATAAGTTCCAGCCAAGTAAGGACCTTGTCTTTTTCTGCTGTATCCTCAACATCAAGACTATAGTGCACAGCACATAGTAGGTGTTCAATAAACATTTTCTGGGCTGGGCACAGTGGCTCATGCCTGTAATTCCACCACTTTGGGAGGCTGAGGCGGGTAGATCACCTGAGGTTGGGAGTTCAAGACCAGCCTGACCAACATGGAGAAACCCCGTCTCTACTAAAAATACAAAATTAGACAAGCATGATGGTACATGCCTGTAATCCCAGCTACTTGAGAGACTGAGGCAGGAGAATCACTTGGACCTGGGAGGCGAAGGTTGTGGTGAACCAAGATTGTGCCAGTGCACTCCAGCCTGGGCAACAAGAGCAAAACTCCATCTCAAAACAAATTTCTTAACATGTCAACCCAAACCCTTCTCAAAGCAACTTACCTTCCTTCAGTGCTGCTGCCAGTAATGAGGCTGCCTGGGGAGGCTCGCCTGCGTCAGGTTTAATAAGGAGGTGAGGCTCTAGATGGACGTCCTCAAATCCGCTCAGTTCTCCAAGTTCAGCATAGATATGCAGCTTCTCCTCCAAATACGCACAAATTTGCTGGTCTTGGTTAGTGAGTATTTCTATGAAATAGTATTTACCATAGGAGGTTATTACTAACATGAATACAACCACTAATGTGAGAGTCCATGAAAGAGATGTTGCTAATTAGCAAGCAGTGTGACCTACAAGAGAAAGCCCAGGTGAAGACTGGGGTAGATGCAGCTTTCAGGCCTGACTATGCCACTGAGTGACTGTGGCCTCCAGGCAGTGAACAATTTTCTCAGCTTCCATTGTCTTTTCTGTAAACAAGGTCCCTTTCTCAGCCTCGTAGTTCCAGAAAATTTGCAAAACCCTTCTTTGTTTATGCAGGCTGTTTTCTATTAAGACTAAACATTAAGCTTGGGAATGAAAATTGAGGCTGCACCGTCCATGAGGAGTGAATGCCCACGAGGGTAAGCAATACAAATGCCTGGAACTGCGCAGGCTTCAGCCAGCTGTGGTCAAAACCAAAGACACTGGTTTATGTTTTTGTTTCTAAACATCCAATTTCTTTGCCCATCTTTGCATGCATCATTGTCCTCAGGTTTCAACGTGTCACAGAATTCTTAAAGCTCAAAGGGATCTTAACTAGCATTGAATCCAGGAATTCTGTCTTCTCTGTGCTTCAAAGTCACCTTGGGAGAGCTAAGAACCCCAAAGTCTATATCCCACCTGCCACAGATTCAGATTCAACTGGTGAAGGGTGAGGCCCAGGCATCAGTATTTTTAAAGACCTCTCAACTGATTGCAATGTCAAACTGGAGTTGAGAATCACTGAGCTAGTCTAACTTCCTTCCTTCACAGACTTGGAAACTGGGGACCAGATCTATCGGGTTCCTTGTCCAAAGCCATTGACATGACAGTGCTGAGACCTAAAATTAAACCATGAGACAATAATTCCAACATTCATCTGCCCCACACTGCCCACAGCTATTGCTTTGTATATGTTATGTGCATTTCTTACATCCATTGTCATCACTAAGGTGGAAGTGAAGGGAATGTCATCTTGTTTGAGCATTTCTAGTGTAAGTTTTTGGTTTTCAGTTTTGCTCGGGAGGGTGGTCCAGGGGGCCTCAGGTACACAGGATGAATTATGTAGTTATAACCTCGTGTTCATGACACTTGGGCTTTCCCAACACCCAGGAAAACACCACGACCAGGAGTCGTAGGTGCCTGCACTGTACCTTGACATTGCTGAATTTTGGCCACTCTGGCTTCAGCTTTCCTCCTCTCTTCGTCAGATTCACTTGTCCTTCCCCCTTTTTCTTCAGGGCAACTTTAAAAGACAATAGTCAAGAGACACAACTGAAACTAAATGCAAGTATCTGTAGATCCATTAGAAAAACATGGGAACTTGGCAATAGATTTATTCATAAAGGAGAAAATTTCAGCATTAAAGGAATACATCATGCCCCCTGATTAGAGACTTGGTTTTCTTGAGTATACAAAGAATCTTACATAACATTACATGGCTCTGAAAATCAGCAGTGTAGGATGACTCAAATATTCCAGTGAACACAAATATACACTCAAACACACACACACATGATGGCAATAAAGTATAAGGATTGTAGGGGATAGAAGTGGGGTGCCAGATCAGATGGGGTGCAGTGGAGGTGGAGAAATTTTATATAACTTCAGGATCTAACTCATCAAATTGCTATTGAGAATGATCACCCCCACCCTTGTGCTCCCAATTATTAAAAGTGTCCTTGCACAAGTAATGAGGAATAAATTGACTTAGAATACTTAGATCCAACAATTCAGAAACATTTATTGAATGATTTCTCAGCACTAGGCACACAGAGAAACATAAGACATGACCCCTGCCCTCAAGGAGCTTCCAATCTAATTAAGCACACATATATGTACATAAAAAAGATAATAGCTACAAGGCATTCTATAAGAAGCATCGAGTAAATGCTTTAGTGAGCAGGTGTTAAAGAATTTCAGATAAGGAAGAGATCACCAGGACTGAAGAGGTCCTCATGGAGGAGGGGAGGCCCGAGCTGCATCAAAGCCCAGCAGGGCGCAGACGGGCAGAGGGAGGTGCAGGCATTACATGCAGGGAGGCGCGGAGGAGAAAGCTGCAGATGGGGGACTATCGCAGGCAGGTGCAGGGGGCAGGGAGCAGACCATTCTGGCAGAGGCAAAGTTTTCATGCAGGAAGACATGGTTAGAATGTTTTCCCCAACTGAGAAGTCTGTTCATAGATTACGGATGGAAGGAAACGTTACCTTTCTACAGCCTGCTGGATCCGTCTCATCCAGTTATTGCGTTCCTCCTTAGAATTGGTGTGAATTTCATACATCTCAGGACCAGCAGATGAAGCACTGATCAGAAACATTCCTCTCTCCTCATTAGCAACTTCTCTAGCAATAAGCTTTTGAAGGGAAATAACTGATGGCTTCTGATCCTACATAAAATAGGAAGGTGAGCAGATGAAACAGCATCCCAGCTAAAGTAAGGCTCCCATAAAACATGAACTAAAGGAAGCAACAGTATTAGGTAAACCTTTCTCTACTTCCAATCTTTTCAAAAGAGCTGTAGAAATTGATATGATCTCCAATGGAGACGGTATGGAGAAGAGAGGATGGAAAAAGAGAATTTATGGAAATGTTTGTCCTTAAGAATTGGTTTAGGCCAGATGTGATGGCTCATGCCTGTAATCCCAGCACTTTGGGAGGCCAAGGCAGGCAAATCACTCGAGGTCAGGAGTTCAAGACCAACTCGGCCAATGTGGTGAAACTGTACTAAATGTGGCGAAACTGTACTAAAAATACAAGAGGCAAGAGAATTGCTTGAACCTGGGAGGTGGAGGTTGCAGTGAGTGCACTCCAGCTTGTGCAACAGAGTGAGACTCTGTCTCAAAAAAAAAAAAAAAAAAAAAGGAATTGGTGGTTTAAAAGTGAAACTTTTTAAAAGAACAGTCAGAGAAGAAAAATATCAAAATGCCATATTTAAGGGAGGAGAAATTTGTCTAACAGGGCATGAGATGGGAAACTATATCAAATGTCACAAAGATTGAGAAGGATGGAGGTCCTAAAAAGTCCACTGGACTTGCAATACTGTTTCAACAGTAAGGTGACAGAACAGAAGCCCAGCTCATGCACTACAAAAGTGACAGATATGTATAGGTGGCAAGACCTTCAATTCCCCAGCATAACCAATCCTTTTTGCTCCTGTCATGTGGGTCACAGCAACAGAGTGTCTACAAGTTCTGCCTGTAAATGCCTCTTCTCACCAAGCAGATGAGCCCTTGGTGGGCGGGAATGGGTATAATTCATCTTCATATGCCTGGCACATAGCCTTTCGTAGAGGAAGCACTCAATAAATGTTGGTGGAACGAGTTTTACATAAGTCCACCAGAAGGTAATAGGAAGAAGGTCTAAAATTGGCATTTACACCATAATTAAACCACCTCTTCTACCAACATCTACTGTGATCCTCCAATGTCCCTTTCTAAGCAGTAGGGATTCAAAGAGGAATAGCACACTGATGATGCTTGGTAGGTATATGTGGTTGAAAGAATGGCCAAAAGAATGCCTTCAGGATGAACAGTTTGGGGGATAATATGAAGAATCTTCATTGGTATGTGGCTTCCACCACTGTTTACGGAGCTGGTTGCAATGTGTGGTTTTGCTTCACAATCATGGACTGAGTGACGCCTTTACCCAGAACATGCCACTCTCCCCTCCCTGCTGACTCCTTGGTGCTGGCTTGTCGGCTTTCCCAGCACCATACAGCTTGGCCACATCTGACGCTGTGTGCCACGGTGACCCAGGGTACCTCCTCACCCCATGCTTCCCAGACTAGCATGAGAGAAATATATGATGGGACAAGACCTCTGGTCTGTGCAGCCCTGTGCTCAGCCTCTGAAAATGGAAGCAAAAGCAGCCCTTGTGGCAGAGTTGGTTGAATACTGCCCTCTCTAGTTAGGGAGATCCTTGGAGCATTGAAAATCTGGCTTATTCTATTATGGATCTACTCCCAAGACCTTATCTGCTTCCTTGATCCAATGTGCAGCTTTAGCTTCCTCAGCTGACAAGGTAGACAGCCTCTGTACGTACAAAGGCAGAGTAGGTTTACTTGCTTAAGACATGAGCAAGAGTGAAATTATTTGAACCAGTTGGTTACTGTTGCAGGGGAGAGGAGGTGGCAGGTAAGACCTTTTCAAAGTGAAGAACAGGTGAGTGCAAGGAAAGCAGCATTCATCACATCACCATCAGACCAGGGGCAGAGGGACCTGTCCCCTGGTATTCATACTAACCACGCACAAACACTGGAGAGGAACAATTCAAATTAACTCTCCAGGAACGGAAGTAGCATGTCTGCTTTGGAGGTAGATATCAAACACTGGTGATACAAAGACCTAACCCAGCCTGAAGGAATGTTTTAATTGTGCCACAGCATTTAACAAACAAAATTTAAAACTAAGTTCTCAACCTTTAAACACTAGGGGATTCCACTTTTTAAAAGCTTTAGATTTCTGGGTTCTTGGGGAAAGCAGAAGATTGGCAATTCTGGGCTCATATTGTCATTTTCAAACACTGACTATAGCCAAGTAGTCTCTGCTGTCTTTGAGACAGGACATGGACTCACTTTTCACTACAGTCCCTACCACTTTCTACTGTCTCCTCGCTTCTGACCCTGCCACCTTCACTCGTTCGCATTTCCATCTAATCCCTACAGGCATTAGGAGTTGAAGACCTCTGATGTAGGAGAAGGAGCTGCTATGCTTAGCCATATTGTTACACCGCATCCATTGTGTGCTAATTCTATTATCCAGGGAGTCCACTGTGATAAACAGACATTAAGGCTGCTTCCTATTTTGAGCTTCAGCTGGCAGGTTCACAGGTTCACTGTGTCTTGGTTATTTGTTCCTTTTGAATTTGCCTTCTTTGATGTTCAAGAGATTCCTCCTACACTTAGTATTCCAAGACTTAGTGAACACATCTACTTTTTCTTATACATTTTGTAGGTTTGAGTTCTACCTCAGTTTCCAGCTGAGTCCTTTATGAAATAAACAAAAACACAGCAAAGCTTTCTTGCAGGGACACACTACTCCATCCTCTTGCTATTTTCAGCTGCTTATCTTCTGGCTATTTCCAACTTCATCATGTCTTCTGTAACATGCAGCAAGACAAGCATCTAGGGAAGAAGTTTTTTTCTAAACTGCACAAGAAGTGGAGGATCTCACCTGTACTAACATGAGGATGACTTTCTAAAATACTAGGATGGAAACTAGGAAATCCAGATATCTGTATACCCCTAGCTAAATGCTTCAATTCCCTACAATGTTAACTATAAGGTATTTATAACACATGGGCTGTTGCCAGATAGATGTAACTCCGGAGTGTTTCAACAGTAGGGTGCACTTGACTCTTCAAGGATAAAATGAGGCTTTCTCTTTTGCTCTCTGATACCTCCAAGGGCTTAGCTGTCATTTATGAATGCAGCTACAGGTCAGGTTAACATCTTTAAGAAACAGTATCAGTAACATTTTACAGTTGTCTATAGCCAAACATTCCACCAAGAAGAGCCAGGTTGTAACTGTCTTTATTCTGGCATTCGGTGGATTGCATTCCTAATACCCCACTTAATGGTAAATGTGGTCTATGGGTAGCACAGATAAAGCCTCAGGAGGTCATACGAGACAAGAAGGAAAGAATTATATTTCAAGTCACGGTCTAAGTTGAGCATTACAGGATCTGAATCCATATGCTGTATTCGTCCTAAAAAACAAGATAGTTGTCTTTATATCTACTTCATGATCAATCAGCAGGACATCTGTTTGGTAATACCATCCAAGAAGCAGAATTTGCTTCTCTCTTAGGTCTTTGGTTTTAAAGAAGCATTGGTTTCTGTAAAGATGTGAATTTGTTTCCTCTTCCTACATGGCCTTCACCATCCTACATATTAAACAAAACGGTCCCCACTTTCCCATTTATTTTCTCTATGTTCTTTCAGAGAATCTCTGAGCATCTCAGATAACAGCATAGAGAGGCCACTGGACAAACTAGTAGGTTTTCATGAAATTTGTAATACAGTTCAAACTGATTGGGAACATAGGGATTTCTTTAAGGTCTCTTATTACACTCTAGAATAGCTCTGTGAAAACGTCTTTGACCTCCATACAACTCAACATCATTGTGTTGATGAAAGGCAACGTGCTGAACAGGATGATGAAGTCTCTCAAGCCAGCCTGTCAAACACAGAAAGGCAGATGATGTGCGGCTCCAGCCTCTTCCCCAGAATCCCATAGACATGCCTCTTTGTTTTCTCTGAGCAACACAACAGAAGCCGTATTAAGCTTTGAATTTGCTAAAATTGGTTGGAATTAATGGCATCTGCTAATGGCACCCAAATATCCTACCATTTGGTGGAGGATAAACACTAGCATTTTAGGAAGCCACCACGCACTGCCCATATTGGTATTATGTCTTGTATTATTTCCTCTAACGGGGCCTGATGCTCCCTGATGCTAACAAGGAGTTAACTTTGACAACTTCCTTCTCTAAGTCATTTGGACCAACCAGATGCCAAATACAAAATGTCACAAAATACTAGTTTTATTGTTAGTCTAAGTCTATGTACTAGCAATTAGATGAACACATTACAAAGATAGTGTTATACAAACACTGTTAGTTTTTAGAAGCCATTATAGTAAAAATAAGAAAGAATCTTCTGTAAACATGAGGCAACAGGATGGTGATCCCTTGTTGGCGGAAGACACACGACAGCAGTCACAGGGTTAGTAAGTGGGAGAGCAGGGCCATGGGCATGGAGAAAGCTGGATGCTGGCAGAGATCGGCTCTGCTCAGCATTCACATTTTAGTTGCTGGATCTAAGGGAAGGGGGTTTGGGGCCAAAGGGGCAGGGCAAAGGGGAGTCTACAGGAAAGACAAAGAGGGGTAGATGACATGGGGACATTTGGGAGGTTCAGGGCAGTGCCTCTTCATCAACCACTACTGAAGTACTGCAGTATTCTCACATGTGATTGAACTGCTGAACCAGCTACGTACCCCCAGTTGTGATGAAGCAACACTTAACCATGCTACTTTAACCCAACAAAATGCTTTGTCTCCATATACTGCAACCACAAATAATAATGGAAACATAACAGAAGCATATACTCTCCTGTGACTATTTTATTTTACTAGGAATTTCAGGCATTTTTCAAGAAAATGTGTGATCAAACCTATTTTTTAAATGTATCACATGATCATATACTTACAACGGCTGCAAAGATGTATTTCTGGTCTTTTTCTTGTAAAAAGAGCAGCACATCAGTTAGAAGGAGAGCTAGGATATCTTTAAAGAAAAAACATTACTAGTATTAATGAAGCAAATCACAGTTCAAATAAACAATAAAAATAAAAAGACTAAGATTTACACTAATTATGAAACTTCTATTAAAAAAAAAAACCTGTATCATGAAAGCCAAGGATATATGCTATTGATAACTTCGTAGAAAGCTGTCTTTAAGTGTGCATGTTTGTGTGCATAGCGTAGTATAGTAAATTTCCAGCAAAATTTAATGTGGTCACTTTCAAAACAGAAGAAAAATATTCCTAAAAAAGGAAGTTTTAACAAAAAGAAGCAAACTCTTACCTTTGGCAGGAAAAGTACTGAATTAAAAATGTAAAGGGGCAGCTTCTACCTCAAAGTATATATGCCTGCTATTTTATTTCATCTAGATCTGAGCAAGGTTTAGGATTCCATACGTCCCTTACAAATTGTTCACAAGAACTCATCTTCATTACATCCAGTGAACAGTCCAACACGAAAGTTACTAAACTGATTCTACTAAGCAGATAAGGAACAAATGACTTAGAGCAACAGGATCTACAGGTTGTGGTTAATATTTTTTCAATACAACATTGCTAGTTGTTGATCAACAAATCCCATTTCAGATATTAGTTGCAATCTCCATCAAAACTTGATCATCCTCCAATGGGCAATCATTTTTGAGTAGCTAGAATTTAACAACCTCTTCCTCTCGTTGCTTACCTATGGAACCTATGGATGTTATGAAGATGAGCTGTTAGTGGTTCTTAGCCCTGGCTGCACAGTGGACTCACCTGGGAGGTCTTTAAACAATCTGTGGGCTTTGGCTTCATCCCCACAACAATAAAATCAGAATTTCTGGGAGGAGACGTGAGCATCTATAATTTTTTTAAGTTCCAGAGGTGATTCTAGTGTGTGGCCAGGGTGAGAAAGCCTGGGTTAAGCAGTGTGATAGCTACATAAGGAGTCCTTAAAAAATGGAATTATCTGCTCTGGACTCTATCCAGATGAACAGAGTCAAGTTCGTGCCAATTAGCAAGCAGTAGCACTGAGGAAGAGCTTAAATCAGTGTCAGCAGGTGTGTGGATGCATTCTATTAGTCAGTAACAAAGATGACATTCAGAGTTCTTTTTATTTCTCCCCTCCATGGTCTGACAGCCCTAGGCTGTGTTGACATGCAACAGACCCTAGGTGTGTTGGTATACTGCCTTGCTTTCAACACACCACAGTTACCAGAACAATTTTTCTGTGTCAACAATTAGCAGAACTCTCAGTTCCTTTGATTTCGGACATCACAAACTTGAAAACTCATAAAATATGTATAAAGGCTTTACCTTGGAGCAGCAAATTCCCACCAAAGATTTGTAACATTGACCAAATTTGCCTATTGAAATTCACAAATCAATCTTTCAACTGACCTGGAGTTCGCACATGTGTGCCTGCAATTCTGAACTGTTTTTCTTTTGAAAATCTGTCCTCTGTTAAATGAATAACATGTATGAAAGGAGAAACTGGTCTGGTTTGAAACCACATTACCTTTGAAACGACCTGTAGCAGTTTTCCAGTAAACAAGGCCATCATATAACAGAGTCCTTTCTTCACTTATCAGTGCCTGCTTCCTAAATACATGTCCATTTTTGAGCTTTGTGTACGTTTTGTTTTCAATCTTATTTAGGATCTCAAGCCATTTTTGGTTTTTCTCATATTCGTTGACTTTTAAATCCACTGTTGCAATCATGTCTTTAATTAAGCAAAGAGCTTTGCATAAGTCTTTATGTTCTTCAGTTCTTTCTGCATGGAAAAAGAAACGAAAAATACTACACAATAAACCAGAGTACTAAGGAGGAAAACTTTCATTAGTTTTAAAATATAGTTAAATATATCATCCAAACAATAAAAACTGCTGGATTAATCTTAAATCCCTTGCATTGGCAACACAGTGAAACCCTGTCTCTACCAAAAAAGATACAAAAATTAGCCAGGCATGGTGGTATGTGCCTTTTGTCCCAGCTAGTCGAGAGGTTGTGGTGGGAGAATAGTTTGAGCCTGGGAGGCAGAGGTTGTGGGAAGCCGAGATTGCACCACGGCACTACAGCTTACGAGACAGAGGGTGACTCTGTCTCCAAAAAAAAAAAAAAAAAAAAAAATTTATACTATTACTCTATACACCCCCACCAAAAAAAGTTAAAATATTTTATTATGAAAAATTTGCATTATTAAATGTGCTTCAGCTGACAGTAAGATGTCTGAGTCCTAGGAATGGGTCTGACCTTCTCCCTAGGGCAGGAAAGATGTTATATACTAACTTAGGCCTTCCTTCCACCTTCCCAGACATAGCTAATCAGTAAACCCTATGCCAAGTTCCTTAAAACATAAGCCAGCTGTGGGGCCACACCAGCATCCTCTCAGAAACAGAGCCACAGGGGTGATGTGAAGAAGCCTCAGAATCATTTATATTCCTTGATCCCTTCCTCCATAAAATTAATATTCAAAATTATATTTTATAACTATATTAGCATAAATATGAATATATTACTAATATAATTAAACCATTTTCTTTGACTTAAAATTTTATTTTTTTCTTCTGATGGTAAAAGAAATTAAAATATTTTCATGGTACCTAAGTGCTGTGCCTAATGGATAAATCAGCCATGCTCATACCAAGAGCAAATAATCATTGATTTCAGTTGTTATTCTTTAAAATACTGGCTAACCTGATTTTATCTCTAGATTACCTTGTGAAAATACTATGAAGGAGTTTCTCGGGCAGCCTCCTGAAACTCCAAATAAAAAATATTGGGTGATAAAGACCACCTAGTTGATGTTTATTGAGGCAACAAACTGAAAGGTAATGTTTCAAGTCATTTTGCAGTGGAGATAACTGAAGCTCAGCTAATAATTTGGCTGAGTATATACAATGGCAACGCAAGTTTACAAAATTCCAAACGCAAGCCCTTTTTAACATAACACACTACCACCCTAATAATAATCTTTATTCAAGATCAATACACTAGCTTGAAGATTAGACAATTTTATTTATTCATTCATGGCATTTACGTGTTTTTATTTATTGATCATCTATTCAGTGCCAGCCATTGAACTAGACATTGAAGATCTAGCTGTAAGCCAGACAGACACAGGTCTTATAGATCCCACAAGGAGCTTACAGACCAGCCATGTGCAATAGCAACTTCTTAAAAGATGCCCATATGTTACTCCCTGGAACTTGATGAATTGACAGGTTCAAAAATAGATCCTTTTCATAATCCTTCTCAACTTAATAACTGATTGCCTCTCATAGTATTCAAGTCTTCAACACACATTTATGTGGGGAAAAAAAAGGGAGGAGAATCTGGTAGCATTCTTAACATGGCAGATAAAAATTTAGAATCCAGAAAACTTCATGGGACATATTTCTTCAACAAACGAATCAGAAGAAGTAAAAAAGGGGTAGGATAACACTCAAATTAAAAGAGATTTAAGAGATATAACTACCACATACAATATGTGAATCTTGTTCCGATCCTGATTTACGTAATCCAACTTTATGAGATAATCAGTGAAATTTTCAGATATCAAAAATATTGTTATGTGTATAATAACGTCATTGTAATTTTTAACTTTTTTTGACGTTTGGTGATAGGATCGATAGCACGTTTCATCAGACTGCTGTGAAGGTAACAGGAAAATGAGGAAGACGGGGTATTAAGAAAGCCAAGCAGTGGGGAAAATATAGAGAGGAAAGACAGGTTCAAAGTAAGAGGAAGCCAGCTTGGTCTGGGTTACCTGTAGAAACTCAGACTATTATCCATGACATGTTATAAAAGATTATGTCTAAAAATGAATTCTAAGGCTAGCCAAATTCTAAGGCTTTAACAGTTTCTCTATTGTGAAACGCTTTATGAATCAGAGACCACAAACATTTGTGGCTGTTTAGAACACCTCAGCTATGTTTAAAACTAATAAGAGGGGCAAATGTTTATCCCAGAAGTCACAACTTACCCTTTGTGTACTGCAATATCCTTTCCACCAAGACAGGGTATTTTGTAATACGCTGAGTGACCAACAGAATGCATTCTGGAATTCCTCGGCGGCGAGCCAAAAGATTACTATTTCGGAGCTTAAAATATATATATATATATTTTATATACACAAATTCTACCTGTATTTACTTTTCAGGTGTGAATCTAAAAATACAAAGAATCTGCAACAGTACAATTTTATGCAGACTTAACATTTTCATCGTTATCAGTTAAAAAATACGTTATTACTAATTTAAATTGTATACTTTGTCATAAATTTCAATACCCCAACTCTCCAAGATTTTAATAAGTTTCAAGTTACTCTGATGTATTTATAGTTAATTCTTAAAGTAAGAAGTTCCAATACTTTTAAGTGCCTCGATTTATGAATAGCAAAAGTTTTTCAAAAATAATCAGAAATCAAAGTTAGATTTTGAACATGAGTTTGCAGTTTACCATTTGTTTTCCCAACAGGCCTTCCTCCACATTTGCTGTTATTCATTATAACACTTAGAGGTCCCTCTAATCAGCACAACTTTTTTTCTAAAAATATCAAAGTATTTCTCATAGTATTCAAGTCCTCAACACACATTTATGTGGGAAAAAAAAGGGAGGAGAATCTGGTAGCATTCTTAACATGGCAGATAAAAATTTAGAATCCAGAAAACTTCATAGGACAAATTTCTTCAACAAATGAATCAGAAGAAGTAAAAAATGGGTGGGATAACATTCAAATTAAAAGAGATTTAAGAGATATAACTACCACATACAATATGTGAATCTTGTTCAGATCCTGATTTAAGCAATCCAATTTTTTGAGATAATCAGTGAAATTTTAAGATATCAAAAATTACTGTTAATTTATTTGTATAATAATGCCATCGCAATTTTTAACTTTTTAATATGGAGAAAAATATTACAGATGAAATTATATGATGTCATGAATTTGCTTCAAGCTAATTCAGTAGAAGTGGAGTAGATTCTGTGTTTATTTTTACTTTGATTTTTCTGATATATAACTTGTCAGAGCATGAAACAGTCCCAATACATTATAAATATTCTCAGAAGATTGGAAGACATGATTTCACAAGTATAAGATACAAAAGAAAATGATTTGGGGGAATATTTTACTAACACAGAAAAAGAGACTTTCCACCTTTGCCAAGAACCTTCTGCTTTCCTCCTTCTTCCCCTGAAAAGCAATTCCTAGCTATGAAATTTGTTCAAATCATTAAGAAACAAGCATAAACTATTTCTCTATGCTGATTTATCACTTTGTAATAAAGTTTTTAAATACTTGCCTTAATAAAATTCTGAAACTTTTTATTCTGCTGGAGTTCTTTAAAGAGGTTAACAGCTTCTTTATGATGGCTACAGAATTCTCCATATATTTTCTTCATTTTACTTGCATTTTCTTCTGAAAACTGGGAAGAATAATATTTCAATGATGGTTTGTAAATTTAGTAAGTTCTAAACACATGAAAAATACGCAATTTTCATCTATTTCAGAACACTATTTGCAAATAAAGAATAAACACTGTAGAATTTCTGAACACTATCACTTCTCTCCTCAGACATTTTTTAAATTAATAAAAGAAAGTTGTTGAGTGGTAAGGGGTCAACATAATATGCTCATATTATATTGAACTAATATAATTATCAAATAGCCAAATGAGAAACATTTGATGTATTTTATTCTTTTCCTGTTTTTAATACAAATCTGTCATTTCAATTTATAGTTTTAATACTTGTATAGATTGAAAGAAAAGTATATGGCAGCATTTGGGGGGCTCCAGGAAGGTCTGCCCCCCTCAAAAAAAATCACTCATTTGGCATTTACATTGGCTAATGACCATGTCCACAGACAGCCTTCAGTAGAAAATTTCACTTTTTGTTCACACATTACAAGTGGATCAAGGGCAGGCTATCATCAGCCAAGATGAAAGAGACCAGTGAATAACCAGAACCAGAATGCCTGTTTACTAGCTAATGAAGAGAAATGAAGATGTGGACTGGATGTTTCAATAAGCCTTACCTGTAGAAAAACATCTGTAGAAAATCCACATAGGAATCAACTTAGTCATAAGATGGTATGAAAAGAACTAGCTGAATGATTTGATTACTATTTTTTTAGACTATGATGGCCCTACATGCACATGTCCACATTGAAGAGCACTATAATGGAAACCAGAACACATCCACCCTCTTAAAAGTACTTAAAATTTACATCACTACCTCTGGTCTTTTCATCTTTGCTTATACAAATGCTTGGGGGCAATAAGTCTCAAAAGATAATTCTTAAATCACTTACAACCATTCAAAAACAATTACCTGGGTACAAATCTAACAAAATACATATATGACTCATACAGTAAAAACTATACAATGCCAGTGAAAGACAGCAAAAATCTAAATAAATGAAGTGCTATACCATGTTCATGGATTGGAAGACTCAAGATAGAAAAGATGTCAATTTTCTTCAAATTGATATACAATTTTAATGCAATTCTTAACAAAATTCCAGTATGCTTTCTTAAAATATGGATAAGACTATTATAGAATTTATATGAAAAGGCAAAGAATCTAGACTAGTTAAAACAATTTTGGAAAAAATAATAAAGTGGAAGGACTTAGTCTTCTAATTTTAAGATTATATAGCTACAGTTATTAAGACTATAGAAAGTTAGTCTTAATAGACTATCTTTCTATAGTCTTAATAGACTTAATAGACTATCTTAATAGACTTAATACCCATAGATAAGTGAAACAAATAGTAACCCAGATGCCCACATGATTTTTGACATATAAGTGCAAAAGCAATTAGAGGAAGGATAGCCTTTTCAACAAATGGCCCTGAAGCAACTGGACATTCATAGACACACACACACACACACACACACACACACACACACAGACACAAAGTCAACCTACTAAGTTTCATAACCTACTCCCATAACCTGCACAAAAAATAACTCAAAATGCAACACACACTTAAATGTAAAACATGAAACTGTAAAACTTGTTTGTCTTTTGAGACAGAGTGCTACTTCTGATGCCCAGGCTGGAGTGCAGTGATACGATCTCAGCTTACTGCAACCTCAACCTCCCGGGCTCAAGCAATCTGCCTACCTTAGTCCCCACAAGTAACTGGGATTACAGGTGCACACCACCATGCCCAGCTAATTTTTGTATTTTCTGTAGAGATGGGGATTGATCGTGTTGCCAAGACTAATCTCAAACTCCTGAGCTCAAGTGATCCATCCACCTTGGCCTCCCAAAGTGCCAGAATTACAGGTGTGAGACACCAAGCCCGGCCAAAACTGTAAATTCTTTTTTAAACATAAAAGAAAATGTTGGAGACCTGGGGCTAGACAACGAATCTTTAAACTTGAAACCAATAGCACAATTCTTAAAAGGAAAAACTAGGGGGTTGTAAAAAGAAAGCAAAACGTTTTATCATGGGGAAAAAAAAGGAAAAACTAATAGACTAGACTTCATCAAAATTAGAAAATGAGAAGACAAGTTACAGATTTACAGAAAGTGTTTGTCAATCACATATCTGACAAGAACTAATGTCTAGAATATGTAAACAAACCTCAATATTCAACAGTAAGAAAATAATCCAATTAGAAAATGAGCAAAAGACATAAACAGAAATTTCACTGAAAGGGATATGTAGATGGCAAATAAGCACATGAAAAGATATTTAATATCATTAGCCATGATGGAAATACAACTTGAATCATAATGAGATATTACTTTACACCTCTTAAAATAGCCAGATTAAAAATAGTGACAATATCAGATGCTACATCTGACAACATCAAATGCTACATCTGACAACATCAAATGTAGAGAAACTGGATTACTTGTACAGTGTTGATGAGAATGCAAAATGGTACAACCACTCTGGAAAACATTTAGCAGTTTCTTACAAAACTGAACATACGACTCCCATACAACCCAGAAATTGCACTCCTGGGCATTAATCCCAGAAAAATGAAAGCTTAGGTTTACACAAAAATCTGCATGTGAGTGTTCACAGCAGCTTTATTTATAGCAGCTAAAAACTGGGAACAAGAAGATATCCTTCAATATGTGAATGATTAAACAAATTGTAATACATCAATACCATGGAACACTACTCAGCATAACTCCCCCATTTTAAGCATACAGACCAACAGCTGACCTCCATTGCTGTATATGACAAGGTGAAACAGCTTCAAAAAATAGTACTTTTGGAGAAGATGGCATGCTAGCATCTACCTCAGGAAAGCCATGCTAAAGCAACTACAGATGGAGCTCCCTTCCCTTCCAAGTGCGGCAGACCACTGTAAGATGTGACATTCAGGTGAATTCCTGATTTTTTTTTAACCTAAGTGAAGTGGCCCATTGATTCAACAAATATTTATAGTATCAAGCACTGTTACAGGTGCTGAAATATAGCAGTAATCAAACAGACAAGAATCCCTACCTTACTGGGACTTACAATCTAATGATGGTAAACACATCCTCAGAATGTCACTATGAAGGTCTCAAAATATATTTTTTACTCTTGTTGATGAAAGGGCAGATTCTGATTCAAATCTCACTTATGTCATAAAGGTCAAAGCCTTTAAGCTTTTCTTACCTGTTGTACCAGAATATCTCCAATTCGATCGATCACAAAATTCCTGTCACTGCCAGCACAGGATTCCTGCCTTCGCTCCTTCATACTGTAGAAGAAATGCCTGTGGATTTCAAGCAACTCATCTAAACAGGGGAAAATTTTATCCACGGTGCTGTGATCCAGCTGCAGCTCCTCTTTCATGCCTTTCCTGAAGATCTCAGACATGATGAACAGGGTCTGGATGTGATGCATCTCTGTTTGCATTAGCTCTGAAATGTGTGAGCACAAATGTGCATTAAACAAGCTCTGAAAAGCAAGTATCTCTATTAAAATAAATTAATAACTCAATACTATATGTTACACAAATAAATGTTTAAGAATATTAAGAATATTTATTCCAATGTAAAAGTCAGCATTAAACATTTCATTCAGCCTAAAATATTAAGCCATTTTCTTTTTACCATCAAAGAGGATATATGTCAAGTTCAATATACAAGAGTCTAATGTATCTGAAACTCAATAATATAACTAGCTAGCATCTTTAGATACCTTCAGATAGGAACTAGGTCTTATTCCCACCTGAAAATGCTCCATAAAATACAACTTAGTGTGTTGGTTCTTTCTTTCTTTGTTTTTTGCATCAAGCAAGAGCACAATTAATTTGGTGAATTGAATGGAACTAAATAAAGTTCTTCAGTGCAGACAACCATTGGTCCTTTCTATTGCAGAATCTGTCTCAAAAATTCCACTTTCTCCAGGGGAAAATAATGCATCACAATCAATCAAAGGACACCATCAAGAAAGGGGAAAGACAACCCACAGAATGGGAGAAAATATTTGCAAATAATTTATCTGATAAGGAACTTGAATCTGGAATATACATTTTTAAAATTCTTTTAACTCAACAATATAAATAAATAACCCAATTCAAAAATGGTCAAAGGCTTTGAAGAGATGCTTCTCCAAAAGGATATACAAATGACCAATAACCACATGAAAAGATGTTCAACATAATTAGCTGTTGGGGAAATACAAATCAAAACCAGAATGAGACATCACTTCACACACATTAGAATAATTATAATAAAAAAGCAATAAACAAGTGTTGGTGAGGATGTGAAGAAACTGGAACCCTCAGGCATTGCTGGTGGGAATGCAAAATGGTATAGCTGCTTTAGAAAACAGTCTGGCAGTTCCTCAAGTGATTAAACATAAAGTTACTGTATGACCCCAAAAGGGGAAAAACCTATCAATTGATGATTAAACAAAATTAAAAATTAGTCATCCATAAAAAGGAATGGTGTACCCATACATATTACAACTAGGATGAACCTTGAAAACACTATGCTAAGTGACAAAAGCCAGCCACAAAAGACGACATATTGTACTATTCATGTAAAATGTCTAGAATAGGCAAATCTGTAGAGACAGAAAGTGGATTAGTGTTTGCCAGAGGCTGGCAGAAAGGGGAAATAGGGAGTGACTGGTAACATGTACAGGATTTTGGAAATGATGAAGATGGTCTGAAATTATACAGTACCTGATGGCTATACAACTTAGTGAATATACTAAAAACTATTAGATTGCGTACTTGTAAAGAAGTGAATTTTGAGGTGAATTATATCTCAATTTTAAAAATGTATCAGGAGAGAAAATAACAACTCACAATTTACAGGTGCACCAAAAGTACTAGTTGTACATTAATTAGTATTTCCAAACTTACTGCAAGTTTTGGGAAAGAATCGTAAATATCAGCCATGGAGAGTCAGCAAGTCTAAACATAGCTTTAATGTTTTATCAGAAATAAGCATGTCTATAATTGAAAATCCACTCACTTTGAATTATTTCCTATCATGTTTTTAGTGCCTACTCCATGCTAAGCACTTACCTTTATCATTTCATTTAATCCTTTAACCCATTAATACATTATGACCCAGAAAATAGGAATGATTTTCATCATCTTTAAAAAACAAACAGTGAGGAAAAAAGGGTAAAGGATTTGCCCTGGAACACAAGCCCTTCTGACACAAAAGTCCACAAAACAACTCATCCCAATGGATTAGATTATTTTCAATAACAAGAAATTGAGAGGCAAATTAAGAAAATTGACAGTAGAATATAAATTGCTTAAGAAATACTAAGTAACTCACACCTACCTACACAGCTCTTGGCATATTTCTAAGCACCCTTGTACACCATCTCACCAGGTATGCCTAACCACCACCTGATGCAGGTGACAAGGTATCCTCACTGCCCAAAGACTTTGGGGCCTGTATTTGCATACACAGGATTAGTGAAAAGAGCCAGTCTGATCTTTAAAGTAGGGTAACCACATTTTGGCATCTACTTTGTACTTGAAATTTTTCAAAGTTTCATTTTGTTCCTAGTCTACAGTTTAACTTTCCCTAATCCAGAATGCCTTCATCCCAAACAGCATGAGGAAATACAATCTCACCACAGCTGAATTCTGTACTGAGGACTGGAGTACAGAGTCAAACACTGCCCAAACCCAGGTGCAGCAGCTTGCACTGCACCTGCTCTCTATGAATGACTGGTGTATGCAGCCAAACTGTAGGGCCATTTGCAATAGCCCTACATTAAAATATGCGAAGGTTCACCGCAATTCTTATATAAAAGAGGGAAGAGTAGAGGCCAGATCTAAATAAACTTGAAAGGGATATGGGAAATAACATTTGCTCTGTGTCAGGTACATATTATGCCCATTTCAGTCTCACAACAATATTTAAAACCTGAGTATTACTAGGTTAGTGTAAAAACTGATTGCGGTTTTTGCTATTACTTTTAATATTAACCTCATTTTACAGACGGAGAAACTAAGGTCCAGGTGATTTACGTAATTTGTCTGAGACAAGGTAAATAGAAAATGATAGAACTGGGATTTTACCCAACTCTGTATAGTTGTAAATTCCATGTTCTTTTCTTGGTACCACACTGCTTCAACTCAAAGAGCATATTTGAAATGCTTACCAAAAATGACATCCTGTCTTTTGATGACATCCTTCTCCTGTCTATTACAAAATGAGGGCTCCACCACAAGACTCCAAGATTCTGCTTCAAACTCCTGGGCATCACTGCTAAGGTCACTCCACAGAGAAGAATCCACAACATCTAATGTGTGTTTAGAAAAGAAAAGCCAGAAGTACAGTAACGCAGCACAAATACACCCTTGTAAGTCTACGGATTCCTCACACTAAATAAGTCCGCGATGAACATGGAAAGTAAGCAACCAAAACATATTAACATGAAGTAAAACATCTTAAAACTGGACGGATGAAATGGTCCAAATCAAGACAGCTTTCATGAAAGCAAAGAAGAATCAGATATTTAAAATATTGTTTATATGGAGGAAAAGAGACCTCTGAAGATTATTTTGCTTCTTTTGGCCTGCTCTATTTCAGTTTTATTTTTGGTAACCTTCAGACTCCATAATGTGTCTACAGAATCTTGAATACACCAATTTCTTCTGCCCTGAGTTATTTTGCACTGTTTACTAAAACCTGAATTGTGTACTCACCCATTTGATTTGCTCTTGACTTGCTAAGATGTAAAATAGCGTGTAAGTACTTGAGTCACAAATGAGTGCAGATTTTTCTAATAGAATTACAAAAAATCACACATACGTACAGCCCTCCCCCCACACACATACTCCTCAAGAAAACTAAACCATATTTACCCAAATGGCACTCATTAGAGAGGTTCCAGCTCAGGGCAGTAAAGGTGAGATGACAAAGAATTTAAAGACTCAAGATTAAAGTAAAACACTTTCCTGGGGCAGAGTCCACTGCTCTCTCTTGTCACTACTGTCTTTCCATTTTGTTTTCCTTCTTACCTGGTACAGCTTGGATACAAAAATCAATTCCCTAGATTAAGTCTTGCCCTGCAAAATATGCTTTAAAAAATGCTTTAAAGGCTGGGCACAGTGGCTTATCCTCTAATACTAGCACGTTGGGAGGCTGAGGTGGTTGGCTACCTGAGGTCTGGAGTTCAAGACCAGGCTGGCCAACATGGTGAAACCCCATCTCTACAAACAATACAAAAATTAGCTGGGAGGGTGGGGTGCAGGGGATGTGCCTGTAGTCCCAGCTACTTGGGAGGCTGTGGCAGGAGAATTGCTTGAACCTGGGAGGTAGCGGTTGCAGTAATTTGAGATCACAGCACTGCACTCCAGCCTAGACAAAAGAGTGAGACACTGTCTCAAAGAAAAATGTTTTTATTCCCGTAGGAGGTAATAGATGGGGTAAATATCTCAGAGATCCAAGGAAGACCAGTCTTAACTAACTAAAGTATATGTTTTTAATATAGGATCTTATTCCAATTCATCAATAGCTATAAAACATTTTTAATAATAAGCACACAATATATTTTATTCATTTCTCTTCATTAAGCTTGTGAGATTCTTTTAGTAATATGTCTATTCAAAATTTACATCATATTTCCTTGGTCACTATCTGGTTGTCTCCTTTGGGGCTAAATTTTCATTCTTTTAAAAGGTAGAACCTATACCAAAAAGATAACCTGAAACAGACTTCTTTGAAAAAGAAAAAAAATTAAATGCTTCAATCTTACGTCATTCGGAAAATATCCTTTTGGCAAATGCTAACAAAAACACAAATAAATGGAACTGTGTCTTTTCCTCACCTTCCATTATGAAAGACTCTGTAGAGGGAGAAGAGCCCATGGACTGTAGCAGCTCATCGGAATGAGACCTCCTTCTGCAACTGTTACCGTCACTCTCAGACTCCAAGGATGTTGCTGACCTCCTGAAGCTAGGGGAGAGGGAGGAGTGCACCATCAGCCCCAGCAGCTTCTCTGAGCCATGAAGATGTAAAAACACACTCAGACTTACCTTTCCAAGGTGGTGCCTGGAACACTTCTGGACAATGGATGAACCTGTCCCACGGTCTCCCTCCTTCCAGTCGGCAATCCAACAGGCATGGAGGAAGAAGGGTGCAAGGAGAGACCAGGCTGAGGGATGTCTCTAAATGAAGAATCTGGAAATCAGAACAGATGCTTCATGTGGTTTCTAGGTCAGTAATTACAAGTAAAAGTAGTCACTTAAAAGCCAGAAATCTAAACCCTGCAATGACCACTTGTAATCCATCGCATGCCCTGCCTTAAAACCAGTCTCCCTGCTACATCCTGACACTTGCTCCAAGTGTCCCTTTCATTTTACACCCTCCTGACACCCATGCTGCAGGCCTGCTTCTGCATCTCCACTGGGAGACTGTGGGTGTTTGGGATTGCACAAACAAACAAGACAATGGAATGGGGAAATACTGGGCCAGCTTTCCCGTAAATCACTGCCTGTGCTCCTTAGAGCCAGCTTTAAATAGTTGCAAGGTGTTATTAGTACTGTTACTGAATGCATACAGTGTGTATAAACAAGCATCCGCACACAGAGAACACGTCAATGGAATGGAATGATGCTAGAGAGTCTATTCTTCATGGTATAAGGATCTCATGCAAATGAAACCTGCAAGCCAAGCTGGGCTATTCTCTCTCACATATGGAAAACCAAATAAGGCTTCTACATTTTTCTGGTCAGTTCTAAAATCTTCTGTGCATAGATGCATTTACATTTGATGTATACTATAAGTGACTCAGAAGACATTTCCATCCCATATTATAGCTGTGTAGCGTATACATTCTCCAGCAAAAGGCAAAAATACTTACATAGATCCCGGACATTACGAAGCATTTTACATATGCAAAAGTTAATTTTATTCTTACAACTCCCATGTGAAGAGAAGTAATATATAGTATTTCATCAATTCTAAGATACTATTTATTTTCACATTTAACCCTGTGAAACTGAGAAGCCCCTGATAACTGACATTATCAAAGAGGATTTTGGGGTCAAGGCAAGAGAGTGATATGACAGCTATAACTGCCTGCACCAACTTAACCTGATATAATATTACACCCAATAGCATGTTACCACGAATTTGCATGCCTAATTGTCCCCCAATTAAAGTGGTTTTAAATTATCAGTCACACTTTGTTACATGGAAATGAAAAGTTACCATGCACTTAAAATTCCTGCCATATGTCAAGCAACACAACTTTAGGCAGAAGACACTGCAAAATCTCTCACAATAAAGCAAGAGATTTTCATATTTAGGAGACATTAGCGTGATCGGTTCTTGTAAGCGCTGTAAAAAACTGTCAAAGGGCACCAATTATTCTCAAGAGAAACTGCTTAAATTTCAGCAATATACAATCCAGGAAAAACAGAGCCACCAAATTTTAAAATATGCAAATCAAACTCTGGTATGCCTTGAAATTTCAGTCATTCTAAAGGTGCTAATGAGATCACAGCCTCAAGCACAGCTAATTAAACCCAGGTAACTATAATAATGGACAACAGAAACTGATAAAAATCTATAGACTCCAAATTCGAAGACTTTTTCCCATCAAACATTGTGATTCTTAAGAAGAATGTGGTGTGTATTTGTATAGATAAACATATTACTGCAATATTACTATGCTATGCTACTGCTAGGAAAACAAAGTAATGTACATTTCATGTAGTATTTCTCTTTTCCTTGAAGGATTATTAATAAATCAGCAGAGCATACTGCATTAGACAGCATCTTAGAATTGAAGCAACATGGTAATACCTTCTCCTTACAGCCCTCTCTAATATAAAAGATCATACGGTACATACAACACAAAAGTTCTTAGGCTAGTGTAGAAGTTTATAGACTTCTTGACCACTTTATAGAACTAAAAATTATGCCAAACATATGTTATGGAAGAAGAAATAACTGGATAAATGAGAAAACAAAAGGAGATCTTTTTAAAATGGCAAAATGTGTAGTATATATTAAATTTTTAAAAGTTCTTGTCGTTTTCCACATCACTTACTTCCAAGGATGGTCTGTGGTTTGTTCTTGTTGTATTTCTCTTGGAATTTCTGGTAAAGAATATTAGAAACACATAAAGTAAGATCAAAGTGTCATTGGATTACAAGAATATCCATATAGTTACACAGAACAGGATTCTTATCTACATCATTTTTGTTATTCTATTTCCAAGAGGAATTCAAAGCAAACGACATTGAATGCCATGAAGAGTAAAATGTGATGATAATAAAACGTGCAAGTCATGATGACGGGGCCTTGGGAATGTGCCTCCTGAACGCTCCTGGCTTCATTAAAAGCCTCAGGGGAACCAGAGATCTCCAGCTTATGTGTCCAGACCCAGGCTGAAAAGAGTGCTTATCAACGCTGCCTTTCTCCTTCTTAGTTCTTTCTACACCCTGCTATCCCTCCTGACTAGGACACACCACCTGGAGCACTGAAATGTCACGTTCAAAACAGCCCTTAACTCTGATCTGACACAGTATGTGTTCCAATCAACAAAGAGGTCTGCAACTCCAAGTCTGCCCCTGAAGAATCATCATGCTCACTCACATGCATCTGTGACATGACTACTGAATGGAAAAGAAAGGAATCAAATCACAGACGCCTTCGTCTACTCAAGCCCATTCCCAGCTACACCGAACATTCTTCTAGTCCAGTGGCTCTCAAAGTGAGGTGTCAGGAGCAGCAGCAGTACCATCACCTGCAAACTTGTTAGAAATGCACACTCTCAGGCTCCACCTCAGACCTACGGAATCAGAAATTCTGGAAGTGGGGCCCAGAAATCTGTGTTGTCACAGGTCTTTCAGTGATTGTGAGGCTTGTAAACGTTTGTGACTTACTACTCTGATCTTCATTTGAGTGTACCCAGGGCTTGCACTGGTAAACCAAGCAGGTCTCAACAGAAAGCCTAACCTAGCCATGGCATATAACACAAATATCTGAGCTTTCTTCCTATTTCTAACAGTGTACAGTTAAGCAAATAACTATAAGCTTTGAGCATTATGTTATAGCTATCATGATCGTTTTAGAAATAAATCTAGATGGTAATAAAAAAGAGCAAAAGCTCAAATAAATGCTATAAAGCAACCATGCTAGATATAATATTCACAGATCACTGAGCAATTACCTTGGTGCATGGAGGTGCAGCATCTTTGCAACCCTTGTGCACATTTGCGTTACAGTCTGAAATAAAAAGGAAAGTTATGAAAGCATCCATCTTTCTTAGGTTAATCTGAAATTAATGACTACATCATGTTTTTACCGGTCACTATAAAACTAACACATAAACATTACAAATACCTGGAAAGCTTAAGAAGGAAAGAAAAACTATCTAAGTCACATGTATCCTCACCACTCAAGCACAAGCACACTGCTAAAGAGGTTTTCATCTCTTTGGAGATATTGCTCCCTTTAGGCACAGGATCTTATCCATGAGTAAATCTGCAATTATGAATCACATACACTTTTGCGATGCTTCTGTGTCTGCCTGAGAACTCACTTTCTACTACATGCATTACATTGCATGGGATTCCTGACACCTGGCTGGTAGTAACTCCCCACTCCCACACCAGGTAGAATGCCTATCACAACAAAAAGAAAGAAACTCTCAACACTGCTGCAAAAAAAAAAAAAATGTCTTGTGAGGTTTTGGCAAGAATTCCTACTAACTAGAAGTTTGAGGTAATCTAATCAAATGAAAAATGCTAGCCCTGTGCCCATGTTTCATGTCACAAAACAATGCGGCCTCGCCTCACTGGAAGAATGTAAGGGAATACGTTCCCTGTCCCTTTCTGCCCACGGGCACAGACACTAAGGCTGTTCTCATGGAAAGCTGCACTGCCTGGGCACTGGTTGCTGCCAGGCTGTTGTCTTTGGGCCCTTTCCCCTGCCACCTCCATGTCACCACACACTGTATCATATATAGAGGAGCCTGGGTGCATCAGAAACTTATGCAGAAGGAATCCTTCTGTGGGAGTGGAAGATCCCATGTTGGTCCATCAAAGCCACGCTGCATAAGTGTCAGTGAGAGAACTGGGCAGGAGGCTGAAACCTATGACTTCCCTCAGCCTGCAGGTCTGAAGAGGCATTTTAGCCAACATGCCAGGGGCCAGCAAGCAGGGCCTAAGGCTAATCTATGCACTGGCCTGGCTGATAAGCATCAGATTCAGACAGCCCTCTCCTCATTGCAGAGCGAGTAAATAACAGGAAAAAGTAGATGCCCTGAGATACCACAGAACAAAGTTACACCAAAAACTCACCAGAAGCAGCAGCCACTGAATACTAGATCCAGAAATAAGAAAGAAAGTTTAGACATTTGAAAATTGTTCTTGATAAGAGAAAACAGGGGCTTCAGTAAAACAGAGCAAAAGGCAGTGAAGGGAGAACAGGATATGAGACTTGGCCTGCAGGAGGAGAGGAAAACGGAGCTTCATGAGACAGGAAAGGATTGCAAGGAATGGAAAGAGACAAAAGCACAATCTGAACTGAGCTCAGAAGAATCTGTGTGGTGCAGACATCAAAGCCAAGTTATGAAATTACACTTGAAAGACTCCCTCTAGAATGTGGAGAAGTGGAAGGGTATAATTATAAAATAGATGTCATACAAAGAACACAGATAGCAGAGATCACACTTACCCAAGAAATAGATCAGAAAAATTAGATCAGAAGCAGTAGCTGTCAAAGCCACAATAGATAAGAATTTTATAAAGATCAAAAAGCACCCAAAAGGACAAATCAAAAGCTCTCACTGTTTCCTAAGAAAAATAATTAAATGACACCTATAGACACATCCTGACAATATCCATATGATTAAAAAATGAAAAGTCCTCAAGCACAAGGCAGAAAACGAGGGTTATCAACAAAGGAATAGCGTCAGGCAGGCCGTAGACTTTTCCACTATGATAATAAATGCTCAAATCTATTGGACCAGTGTTGGCAAAGCAGTGAAGGGAAAAGACTTTGGTCCAAGAATTTATTTAACTAGGTAAGTTGTTTTTGTGTGAAAGGAAAATGATATATCCCTTGGTACACGAAGCATCAGAGCAACAGATCACTCCTATTTTAGCCTTTTGAGGAAAGAATCAAAATTAGGAGTTCAAGAAGGATTTGCTATAGTTTGTCTTTAAAAAAAAAAAAGCAAAAGTGAGCAGTAAAAAATGGTTGTAGGTAGAGACAGAACTAAATAAAAATGTCAACATTTTTCGGAAATAGAAAATTGAAAGATTAAACATAATCTTATAAAAAGAATACTTTAATAATTCAGTGTATTAACAGAGGCTAGAGAGGGGGAGAGTAAACTTAATGGAAATAAGAGTGTTAGATTGTTAGCCTTCCACAGACTTAAAGCTGCTATTAGTTGATATTTAAAAAGCCTATTTTGCCAAATCCCTGGAGAAGACAAAAGCAAAAAACACCTGGTCTAAATAGCTAAACTAGACATCAAGGAAAACAGCAAGGATCTATAAACAATATGTTGGTAGCAGTACAATTAAATGTAAAATTTTAAAAACCCTGTCATAAAACAAGTTCCTTCAGTTACATTACAGATTACCTCTAGCTAAATTAAAGACATGCACCTCAAATCAAAAACACAGCAATAGTTGAGAGAAATACAAACAAATGGAAAGCAGGAGGAATATTAGGTTTAGAAAAAGTAAAATTAAATGCAAAAAGTATCTAATGACATTAAAAGGATAATTTTACGTTAAGGTTAAATCTGCAATGAAGGTATGATATATAAATTTCTGTGTAACAGATAACGTAACATCAAAATAACAGCCATGAAACTTATTTATAAGCAAGGGGGATTTTATAGATATATATTTTGTGAGGCTGGGCGCAGTGGCTCACGCCTGTAATCTCAGCACTTTGGGAGGCCGAGGCGGGTGGATCACAAGGTCAAGAGATCAAGACCATCCTGGTCAACAGATCAAGACCATCCTGGTCAACATGGTGAAACCCCGTCTCTACTAAAAATACAAAAAATCAGCTGGGCATGGTGGCGCATGCCTGTAATCCCAGCTACTCAGGAGGCTGAGGCAGGAGAATTGCCTGAACCTAGGAGGCGGAGGTTGTGGTGAGCCGAGATGGTTGCGGTGAGCTGAGATCGCACCATTGCACTCCAGCCTGGGTAACAAGAGCGAAACTCCGTCTCAAAAAAAAAAAAAAGAAATATATTTTGTGGAAAATTAGCAACTCAGGCTTTAGCAGAGGAAAAATGTCACCAGAAGCCTGAATACTTATACAGTATTATGTGTTTTACATCATCTCCCTGTTTTTGTTTTGTTTTGTTTTGTTTTTTCTGAAATGGAGTTTCACTCTTCTTGCCCAGGCTGGAGTGCAATGGCATGATCTCCGCTCACTGCAAGCTCTGCTTCCTGGCTTTAAGCAATTCTCCTGCCTCAGCCTCCTGAGTAGCTGGATTACAGGCATGCACCACCAGGCCCAGGTCATTTTGTATTTTTAGTAAAGATTTCCCATGTTGATTAGGCTGGTCTCGAACTCCTGACCTCAGGTGATTCACCTGCCTCGGCCTCCCAAAGTGCTGGGATTACAGGCATGAGCCACGGTGCCCAGCCATCATATCCTGTTTTTAAGATAGGAATATTAACCTTCACAATTGAAAACAAAAATGCACCCATGGAGAAAGATTATTTAACCAAAACAGCAGAGACTGTACATGTTATATTTATATTGCTCAATGTAAAAACCGTAATATGAGTAAGCAAAGTTTAAACCACCCTCTCTCCCTCCTAAAGCCCTGTAAATCTTGAAATTACTTCTAAAAATTGTAGGTTAAAGAGGAAATCAATTATTCTAGAATTTAATCTTAGGCAATTATCAAAGATGTGGACAGTGATATGTGCAAAAGAATGCTCATTGCCAGGTATTTATGTTGTTTAAAAAATTAGGAAAAATTAAATGTTCCAAAAAATATATATTTGATGTCAGTATCAAATGAAACAGCACTAAAAGCTCACGTATAGCCAGGTGTTATGGCATGTGCCTGTATTCCCAGCTACTAAGGAGGCTGAGGCAGGAGAATCACTTGAGCCCAGGAGGCAGAGGTTGCAATAGCTGAGATTGTACCACTGGGCAATAGAGTGAGACTCCATCTCAAAAAAAAAAAAAAAAAAAGCTCATATAATTTTTTATGGTTATAAGGAACTTCATCAAAATATTAATAGTATTTTTCTCTAAGTGGTAATATTACAAATAAAAAGATACTGCTTAAACCTTATAACTTCTATGAATACTATTTTTTTTTTTTTGAGATGGAGTCTTACTGTCGTCCAAGCTGGAGTGCAGTGGCACCCTCTCAGCTCACTACAACCTCTGCCTCCTGGGTTCAAGCGATTCTCCTGCCTCAGCCTCCCAAGTAGCTGGGACTATAGGTGCATGCCACCATGCCCAGCTAATTTTTGTATTTTTAGTAGAGACAGGCTTTCACCATGTTGGCCAGGATGGTCTCCATCTCTTGACCTTGTGATCCACCCACCTCAGCCTCCCAAAGTGCTGAGATTACAGGCATGAGCCACCACACCCAGCCTGAATACTATTTTTTTAAAGCTAAATATATCCCAGGTACTTTCAGCAATTTCCATCACATCCACTTAATCAGCTCAATGAACCAACATGTTCTTCACCACATAAGTTTACCTTTCAGTAAGCCCTGGCTCCCTAGGCTTTCCCCGGTTACCAGCTCTGCAGGAGTGACTTGGGGCCAGCTTCGTGAGAGCTGCTGTACAGGTCATCACATGATTAGGTCCTAAAATAACTTTGTTTCTTTTAACAGTTAAAACCCAAAGAGACTGTACATAATCCAATTTTAAATGGATATGGAAGTGATGGGCAGGAATTTGGGCCACAGAGGTCAGAGAAGACCTCCAAAGAGGAGGTAAAATACCAGGATCTATGCAGAGGAGTGGGGGAAACTGAGAGGAAGGAGATGATCACAGGCAAAATGCCAAAGGCAGGAAATTACATGCAGTGGGAGGAAAGGGCGACGGGATTGTTGGGGCCTCAGACTGTAAACTGAGGCTGAAGGGGAGCACAGAGGTCTAGTGAGCAGGTCGCAGATGAGGAACCAAATGGCCATGGAAAGAGCTCCGTTTTAGCCCAGTAAACACAAGAGAGGTCCTTAAGTTTATGTGGGCTGATGAAAGTGGTGTTTCACAAAGATTACTGTGGGAAAAGTACTGACCATAAATTGTAGGTGAACATACCTGGAGAGGAAGAAACTAGCACAATTCCCTCCCAGCACGCTAGAAGGCGGTAATGAGAATCTCCCAGAGTGGCAAGAGTGAGAAGGGAAAGAAAAGAGTGACAGTGACATTGACAAGAGGGAGAGGAGGGCAGTGGAATCAAAGCACCCAGGGTTGAAGCTTGTGATGCCACAAACACGAGCCCAGGGACGGCCTTCTGGGCATGGACTTTGAGGTTGGTTTTAGACACATTGGGTTTGGGACACAATGAAATCTCTGAGTGATGATTCCCACAGAGGGTCTCCCTAAGAGCCCCTGTAACTGCCAGTCTTAGTTTATACTGTAGTTTTTACCATAATTCTCAAAAGTGGCCATAAATTACAGGGGTACTTAGTCTCTGGGCAACTGAATATGGAAAAAGAAAGTGAGGAATAAAGATATTACTATATGAGTAATAGGTCTAAATATGATATTTTAGAATATAAGATTAGATGACTACACTTAAAAACAATCAAGGAAAAATGAACAAGTGCCCCAGACCTGAGTTCTGAGCATACCGAGTATTAGGAAAAAACAGACAACCTAGGTGGTAAAACAGAAGGGTAGTGTGCCTTAAACCTTATAACTTCTACGAATACGATTCACAGGAAAAGAGGGAAACATCCCTGAAAGGAGAGACGTCAACCTGGAAACAAGAGACCAGTGAATCTGAACGATGAGAAAAGACTCTGACTTAACTAGAAAGTGACTCTCAGTTTTCGTCACAAGTAGAACTTCTGCACTGGGTGCAGTGGCTCACACTTGTAATCCCAGCACTTTGGGAGACTGAGGCAGGCAGATCACAAGGTCAGGAGTTTGAGACCAGCCTGATCAATATGGTGAAACCCCGTCTCTATTAAAAACACAAAAATTAGCTGGGCATGGTGGCATGTGCCTGTAGTCCCAGCTACTCAGGAGGCTGAGGCAGAAGAATAGCTTGAATCCAGGAGGCAGAGGTTGTAGTGAGCCAAGATTGCACCACTGCACTCCAGCCTGAGCAACAGAGTGAGACTCCGTCTCAGAAAAAAAAAAGCAGAACTTCTGTTAAGCAGTATGCACAGAGGTCAAAATGCAGATGGTGAATGAAGAAATGGCACGGACACACTTAAAAGCAGTGAGTGGAAATTATCCACCTTGACGAGTCTGTTTTAAAGCAGAGGAGGAAACGCTCTTGAGTGTGGCCAGTGGTGTATGACAGGGATCAAGTCTTGTAAACAAGGGGGGAACATCAACCAGTGAAACCCATGCCCATCACACCGATAAACCAACCACTGACATGTGGGCAAGCCAGAAACAACCCATAAACAATACTTGGAGCAAATCTCTAGACATGTAGGAAATTAAACCATATCTGAGCAGCCTGATGCTATTTCAGATCCAGGAAAAGAAAGAAACCAAGTTTTCAAAGAAAGCAAAATTCAATCATGCAATAAAGTCAGCATACTTAAAGACAGTATCAACTGTGAGAAGAAAATTCAGTCTGCCTCTCGTGCCATATGCGGACTGTATTTTCATCAGATGTCCAGCTGTAGATACATCTAAGGTTTTTAATTCAATCATTGTCCATGAATTTAACGAGAAACTTCAGATGTAAATTTCCCCTGCTCTTCTCTTCCCTTTGTGCTCCCATTCACTTCCCAAATATTCCCACATTTCTGGCGACCAACAAATACCTTGAAATCTATTCCACCTGCCTGGGCCTGACTTCTTTTTCTCTGAATTATTCTTTCATTCAACAAATATTTACTAAGCCCCTACTACGTACGAGATATTGTTCTAGCCACTCCGCATATAGCAGAGAACAAATTCAACAGACGAAAATCTATCCCCCATTTGCAAACTGTATAGTAAGTTAGAGGGTGGGAAATGTTGTGATGGGAAAAAAATGCCAGGAGGATAGGAAGGGTGAACCAGGCACTGCGTGATCAGGAAAGGCTGCCTGAGAAAGTGTTATCTGGGTGATCCATGTGGGTATCTGCGGAAAGAGTGTTGCAATCGGAAGGAACAGCCAGAGAAGGCCCTACGGCAGGAGCATGCCTGCCATGTTCAAAGAACAGCAATGATGCCAGTGTGACTGGAACAGAGGGAGTAAGGGAGGGAGAGGACAGATCATGTGGGAACTTGCTGTCATTGTAAGGACTTAAAGACTCCAGTCTGTACTTGGGGATAGGAAGCCACTGGGAGATTTTTGAACACAGTAATATATGCCTTAACAAGCTCACTCTGGCTGATGCTTTGAGAAAGACTAGGGGTAAAAGCACAAGGAAGCCAGTTGGAATGCTGTAGAAATGGTGGCTTTAGACCACAATGATATCAATGTCAGGGGTGACAAGTGCCTGGGTTTTAAATGTTTTCTGAAAATACAGCCAAGAGGATTGTTGATGGATTGGATATAGGAGGTCAGAAAATGGGAGGTATAAAGATGTACTACAGAAGCTTGGCATGAGTGTCTGGTCGGAATGATCAGGTTGCCATTAAGAGCTGAAAGTGTCACTTTTAGGTGAGCACAGAAGGGGGAGGTCGTAACATCTGACTCGCTCTTTAGACGTCCTGGTAGAGACATCAAGTAGACAGTGAGGCATACAAATCTGGGGTTCAGAGAGGCTGTCAGTTATGGACAAAACACACTGACTCTTTTTTGTTTGTTTGCTTGCTTTTTACCAGGAACGTCAGCAAAGGGGAAAAACACACTGACTCTAACCAGTATCAGTCATTGCTTGGTAAACAGTTCAGTCATTTGTATGGCACTGAAAAGGTTTATGTAAATGTATTGAGCAATGAGCCTCTTCTCAAGAAGGTTACTGTCAGGAGATGAAATAGACCTGAGAACTTACTGGAACACTGCAGTGACTCTTTCCCCAGGACTGTTTTATCACAAACTGAACACTGCAGAACCCCAGAGAATGTTCCTGCGGCAAACTGATGTCGGTTCAGCTTCTCTTTGTCTTTGGCATCCTTGCTTTTTGTCTTCATATACAACAGCAGCAGCAGGAAAGTGGGGAAAAAGGAGAAAAGGAAAACGCTGTGAGCCAAACTTTTATAGAAATCATCCGAGCAACATCCCCACATTTTCCATCAGAATATAAGGACTGCACACAAAGGAACACCGTAACGCCTAAATGTGATATGCTGGGCTTTAGCAATATTCCATAAGAAACATGTGTAAATAAAATCTAAGGTAAGTGATTTTAAAGGGAAGGTAGAAATTATACTAATTGCTGAGAAACTAAACCATCTATGTTTTATAGAAAATACGTGAATAACTTTAATTACCTTTGCTTTATTCCGAGGGCTAGTCATCCTATTCATGAGGAAACTGAAAGTTCGACTCACTTTATATTTTTCAGACTCTGATTTGGCAGGTATGATGTATTTATCCCATTCTTCTTCCTGAATTCTACAAAAACAGAATCTGTTATCATGGCTTATAGGACTTCAAGAGGAAGAACAGCATATACGTGTGTGTGTGTGTGTGTGTGTGTGTGTGTGTGTGTGTGTACTCATATATGTATGTGTCTGTTTTTCAAGTTTTAGTGGTTGTCCTAAAGAGAAAGAAAATTTGTTTAAAATACACCTTATAGCATAAGTGAACAGACGTGATTAAAGCAACAATCTCACAATGTCAACAACTATAGAACATAGGTGGTGGAAGTGGGTATACAGTATATAATTCTCTCAACTTTTCTGTATACTTTAAAATTTTCATAACAAAATATTGAGGAAATAAATCTTAGACTTATAATTTTACCCTGAAAACATTCATCTTCCTGTTTACTATGTTAATAAGAATTCCCAAGAGAAGCCAAATAAGCAACAATATGCTACTGGATTTTATTTATTTTTGGAACACAGAGATAATACTCAGTAGACACACGTTTCCTCTGTTGATACGGCCTGAGACACAGACTGACTGCCACTCGGTACAGCCTCTCCCCGTCAATCAGGCTACAATCTGAGACTCTCTAGGTTGTAGAGGACAGAAGCTGTGGATACTCCATAAAGTAAGATGCAAAATAGAGGTAATGGCACCCAACCCATGAACATCCTGACCACTATTTATTTTCTTCTAATCCACAATACAATTATTCTCTAGAAGAAAACAAATCCAGACTATGAAAGTGACATTTCCCCCTAGAGACTCCTTTGAAAATCTGATATTTCTATTATTACCGAGGAAAGAATAAATTAAAAATCAACCTAAGTATCATGTCATCTACATAACACTTCTGTAGATGGTTTCCATAGGGATTATTTCCTAACTAAAGTCTCTCCTACCTGCTAAAATTCTCATCTTTCAGTACTGAAAACTAACACATTTATCTCTGGGAAATATTTAAAAGCAATCAAATTACTAATATACACCAAAATATATATTATTATATTTTATAAAAATATTGCTTTCAGGGATAATTTTCTAGGGCTTCAATTTTTCTTATCTAATTAATGACAAGCTTAGACTAAATTATTTCCAAGACCCTTTCCACATTTTAATACAGTACAGATTATAATAAAACTTTAAGGTATTTAAGCTCTATGTTAGGTTTCAGAGTTCAAACCTATTAATTCATTTAGAAAAAAAATAATAAATGGCTTAAGAGCTGCCTCTTGACCATGTGGCTTTAAGGTATCATCAGAACAGTGTGAGTCCTGTTACTCAAAGCTTGCACAGTAAATGAAATTGGGTTTGCTACTTAGAGAAAACTTTTTTTTAATTTTTATTTATTTATTTATTTATTTTTATATTTATAATTTTTACTGCAGTCTTTCTTTGGTACTACAAAAAAAACAGCAGAAAGTGCGAACGCAGTCCCCCACTACCACAAATTATGCAGTCGAGTTTCCCACATTTGGGGAAATCGCAGGAGTCAGCACACCTGGAGTTCAATGGATAAGCCTCACCCTGGGAAAACCACCTTCGTGATCATGGTACCTCCCCTGCCAGTAAGTATGAGAAAACTTTTTAAAAGGTAGAAGGCCAGGTGTGGTGGCTCACACCTGTAATCCCAACAATTTGGGAGGCCAAGGTGGGTGGATCACCTGAGGTCGGGAGTTTGAGACCAGCCTGACCAATATGGAGAAACCCTGTCTCTACTAAAAATACAAAAAATTAGTCGGGCATAGTGGTACATGCCTCTGTAATCTCAGCTACTCAGGAGGCTGAGGCAGGAGAATCGCTTGAACCCGGGAGGTGGAGGTCGCAGTGAGCCAAGATCACGCCATTACACTCCAGCCTGGGCAACAAGAGTGAAACTCCATCTCAAAAAAAAGGTAGAAGAAAAAGCAAGTGAACAGGACTAAATATACCCTATGCCAACAGAGTACTGAAAGAACCTCAGACCCTCTTAATTTCCTTTCTACTTCCTTTAGTCCTTTTACCTAGGATAACTGACTGGTTAATATAATCTGAAATTTTCCATATCCTCTGGTGTCTTAGGCAACCTAAGATGCAAAATTCGTGCCATGATATTCAATAGGCTCACTTGCATAACTGGGGAAAAAACACATTTGAGAGTTTGAAAAGACTCCTCTCTTGGAAGGCCTTGCGTGATCCCACTGAATGCTATCCAATGTCTAAGAGAAGAGTGATGAGGAGACCTAAATGTCAGCATTAAAGAATGGTTAGGTCATTGTGGATTTTGAGATCAAAGGCCCCTTTTCTACTTCCCAGCAGGAACACAACTAGACTATTGCAAATAAAAGAAAATTAATTCTTGGTTACCCAACTCTACTCCCAACTCCCCTGCTACAGAAGACTATATCAAAAACAACAGTTTCCATGTTGATTAAAAACTTATAAATGCACTGCACCACAATTTACCATATATCCTTTATACTTCTACAACATGACACTTTAACTTTTTTTTTTTTTTTTTTTTGAGACGAAGTTTCACTCTTGTTGCCTAGGCTGAAGTGCAACGGTGCAATCTCGGCTTACTGCAATCTCTGCCTCCTGGGTTCAAGTGATTCTCCTGCTTCAGCCTCCTGAGTAGCTGGGATTACAGGCACCTGCCACCCCACCTGGCTGATTTTAGTATTTTTGGTAGAGATGGGGTTTCACCATGGTGACCAAGCTGGTCTAGAACTCCTGACCTCAGGTGATATGAACACCTTGGCCTCCCAAAGTTCTGGGATTACAGGCGTGAGCCACTGCGCCTGGCCAACACTTTAACTTTTACACTGAGGCCGATAAGACCTGAGAGATAACAGCATAAACATAAAAATGCTAAAACATTAAATATAAAAACTTAGCACCACCACCCAACCAGGTAGAAATGAGAATATCATTGTCATAATCCACTATCAGATTATGAGGATGAGTAATACTGTGTAACCTCTGGGCAAATGTAGAAGGCTGGTTGATTCTACGTTTCATATCTAATTTAACTATGTGACATTTACCTTTATTAAAATCAGGCACTTTAGAAAATAACTGAGAAGAGAAGAACCTCAACTACTTTCACAATAGAATTTAAACAGCTTTTACATTTGTAAGAATCTGGAAAGATTAAATGCTTTTTAACATCCCAGAACAAGAATGTCTGATCTCTATTATTAGTTTGATGACCGATAGCATCACTCACAATAAAGTTTTTCAAACCCTTCTTCAGAGCCTCTCATGGTATTGCCTTTTCAGTAGGTAAACAGATATTTAAAACATATTAAGAATATGGATTCTCAATATTTTAACCCTAAATCTATTTAGAGAACTGGCATCTAAACTGGCATTGTTGTTGTTGTTATTTTTTTTTATTTTTTTGAGACGGAGTCTGGCTCTGTTACACAGGCTGGAGTGCAATGGCATGATCTCGGCTCACTGCAACCTCCGCTTTCCAGGTTCAAGCCATTCTCCTGCCTCAGCCTCCTGAGTAGCTGGGATTACAAATGCCCACTGCCACACCTGGCTAATTTTTGTATTTTTTACTAGAGACAGGGTTTTGCCATGTTGACCAGGCTGGTCTTGAACTCCTAACCTCAGGTAGTCCACCTGCCTCAGCTTTCCAAAGTGCTGGGATTACAGGCAGGAGCCACCACACCCAGCCTAAAGGGTTGAACGAAGTTCCTGCTATGCAGATTGCAAATTGGCACAGTGGAACTTCTGTTAACATTCAGATCTTCAGATTTGAAGAAAGAGGAGGAGAAGAAGGAAATGTATATAACAGATTTAAGATAGATGGTGGCAGTAAAATAATCAAGTCATGCCATATAATCTTTAGGAAATTAGAACACAGAGTGTCTGCTGAAATCAGCCTGCAAGGTATAGAGTGAGCTCATTTTTACCTGGATGTCTACTTTTCTAGAAATGAAGTGATCAACACAAAGAAAAGAATATCAAAGAAGGCATCAACTCAGGTAAATACCTACAACCACATGACCAAAACAAAGCATTAGGTATGGCTTGGGTTCTTATTGGCTTATTCAACAAGACAGCAGAAATAGAGTGGGTGAGATGAAAAATCTACCCTACTAGAAATAACAAGGAATATGACTGAGAGAGTAAGATGCTTTCAGGGTGTGGACCAAGAAAGATCAAGGAATAGAAAGAAAAAAAAAACACAAAAGTGACAGAGAATGAAGAATTAGAGAAAAAGAAACTTCACACACATGTCATCCAAGTTAAAATATTTTATAGGCTACTATTTAGCCAAGTATAATATTGGCTCCTTCAGTCTTAAATCTCTCTCCTAATGAAAAATATTTTTAATTTATCTTTTAATTTTGATAACAATCTATTACTTCTCCAGTTGTTAAAAAGATGACAGGGAGAAGACTGCTAATCAAAATGATGACCAAGATGAAGATCAAATTCCAGAATAAGGAAGTAAATTGCTTAAATTAGGAAATAAATGTAAACCGCTTAAAACAGTACAAGGCACATACAAATGTTCCATAATTGTCAGTAATTACTGCTTTTGCTATCATCATCCTCATTGCCATTGTCACGAAGTCATCTTCATCATCATCCTATCTCTCAAGGGCATTCTTAATCTTCCTCTGTTTGTATCATTCGAAAGTTTCTATTCTGGTTTCAAAAAAAATAGAAATGAACCAAACGAGGCTTTTTCTTATTAATACCTTAATTCCAAGATTTAAAACAAAACAGCCCATCTAGATCTGTATACTAAAACATTTCAAAGTTTTAGCATTAATCTCAACAAAATTAAAACAGTTCACTCTCTTAAAGTCAAACATGTGTGCCATTCTGGCACTTGTTTTGCATATAACCCTGGAGCTATTTCACAGTATGATTCATGGGCAGTTAGTTATTCAGGACCAACAGAAACCAACAATCATGCTTGCACACTAGTCCGCTTCCCAAGCTATACTCCAGCAACAGTTTTACCTTCTAGGAAAAAGAGAAGCTTAGTTAAAACTGCAGATCAACAAGGAAACCGATAGTGCTTAAAAGTCTTCTGCATTGTTCATTGTTTGTTTCCAGCTGACGGGATACTACGCAAAAATCCATAGAGAGACCATAGGGATGTTTAGGTACTTTCTGTAATTGACCACCCAGGGTTCTGTTACTAGAGTAAGTCCCATTGTCACGGTGGAACAGAGCTAGAGAAAACATGTTGCCTTTCTAAAACAGGTGGTCCTCACACTGCTCCCCTTGAGGGTGTCTGGCTTTGAAAATACCCAAACAGGACATCCTGTCCCTAGTCCTGAGCCCTGCACAGCCAAGGACTGAAAGGACAGAGCTGGTAGATCTATCCTGATACAGATCCCAGAGAGAGCAAAGGGTCTTAGGCAGCCTGGTTACATGGAAACCTCTCACGAACTAGTGAACAGATAGCAAAAATGATGTGTGGACATTTCCAAAGAAGGATCATGCGGTCCCTCAGGAAAACTGGAACAGTTAAAGTACCTTTCTTCTCTTGGTGGCTCCGGTAAGCTGTAAGCTCTTTGCTCTACAAGACACAGAACAATAAAATGAAAATGAAGGCAGACAAAGTGGCAGTCATGTGTTAGTCTGAAATGCATACTCAACCATAGTTTATCATTATACACACTACCAGTTAGAAAATAATGAGAAAATGAGTAATCTTATATAAGTAGGGCATTGCTCTGGATTTTTAAAATCACTTTCCCTAATTTAAAGCGGGAAGGGAAGAGGCCAAAACATGGCAACATTTAATGACTTTATGAACTAAGCTAGCATCAGCAAAGGACAGCAAACATTTTCAGAGGTGCAGAAAATTAGTTCTGTATTTTTGGATACTTTTCACCAGAGTCATCCCTATTCTTCATAACGATAATCCCCCAACATACAGAACCAATAAATAACTGCTTTTAAACAAAGCTCAAAGGAAAAGTCTTAAAGGCCAGCATAAGAAGAGTTCATTTTCAGCCAGGTACAGTGGCTCACATCTGTAATCCCAACACTTTGGGAGGCTGAGGTGGGTGGATCACCTGAGGTCGGGAGTTAAAGACCAGCCTAGCTAACATGGTGAAACCCCATCTCTACTAAAAATATAAAAATTAGCCAGGCATGGTGGTGCATGCCTATAGTCCCAGCTACTAAGGAGGCTGAGGCAGGAGAACTGCTTGAACCCAGGAGATGGAGGTTGCAGTGAGCCAAGATCCTGCCACTGAACTCCAGCCTGGGGAACAAGAGCAAGACTTCCTCTCAAAAAAAAAAAAAAAAAAAAAAAGGAAGTTTATTTTCATATGGCTGCAATGTCCTTATAAAATCCTAGCAGCAGTGAGTTCAGAGATGTGCTCTATGGCTCATGGGAAATGGGGGGACCGCCTTTTTCCTTGGACTTGTGGAACGAGGCAGAAGGCGAGGCTCATGCAAGCAGCTTGGAGCCATCTTGTTTCCAGAGTTGAAGTGCTTACTACAGGGGTGGAGCAGAGACACTGATTTAGACAGTGAGACAGCCTGAAGGAGGGAGGGGACACTGTGGAGCACACCATCTACAGAGCAGGGACAAACCCTTTACTCTCACAATTCAGAACAGTGAAGAGGCAAAACTAGGTTACAAAGGAAATGGGACAGCTACATAAGGCGGCAAACAAATACATATCCCCTGAAATGGGTAATATTAAATGTTGCACCTAATACTATCTTGTATATAATAGAAAATCTACTTTGAAGAATTTGAAGGCTTTCTTTTATAGCCATTTCCAAATGTTCCTCAAATTAAGCACAGGGAGAAATCACTATTCTTACGGCAAATAGGCTGAGGTACTAAGAGAATAATCCACCAACTGTTCAAAATCTAATCAAATTCCACCCATCAGCTCACAGCGTTTTCAAAAGTATGTTTATGTCATTTCTCAAATTGTTAAATGCAGAACATTTTTGTTCCTCTTGGTGAGGTTGTAGTTGCCATTTTAATATTGGCAATGTTCTGTTCTGCCTAAATCTACAATGTACCAAAGGGAATTATAAAACTAGATTTTGTTTTATGTATACAAACATCAAAAATAACGTTGTCACCATTGTACTGTTGGCTCAAAAACAAAAAGACACATGAGAAATCATAGTAAGTAGCTCTTTGGAAGTGACAAGGAAGACAGAACATCACAAATAATAATAAAAAGGACTGAAAGCATGCTAGATTTGTATATTTGCATTGCAGCTCTTACAGGGGAGCTTCCCACTGGGACATAAGGAGACTTGGACTCTGTTCATATACACCTGAAATTTTTTAGGACTATTCAAAACTCATCAAGAAAGTATTTACAGCAATATAAATGTCAATTTACTTTTGATTAATGCAAGCAGACTAATCAATGAAACATTAGAATATATCTTTGAATTAGGCAAGCTTTCACATTTGTGCTTTGATTACATAAACACAGATAAAATTATTCCTTCTTCATTAGTAGTTAATTTATTTTTCATATCCCTATGGTACTGACTGACCTAAATGGTATGAATCAAAATATTTGCAGCCATATAAGAATATCCATCGGAATTTTCATATGTTTAGTGTGTAGCCTCAACCTAAATTGCCTAGTTGTAACTGTTACCTGCTGGATAGTATCAAACCTCATTCAAGTAGCCGTGTCTTTAAATATACTGTCTAAAGACAAGGTGTTGTTTACTGCAAATCAAGGCAGTTGATATCAGCTTTTTATTCTCTCTAACTCAAATGCAAAGGTTGCAGGCTTGCATGTAAGGTAAAGATATCTTTCTTTGCTCATTAAAGAATAAGTAAATTAGGGTTATTTCCCCTTGTGAACAATCAGTTTCCTCTTAATTGTGCGGTCAATAATTTCAAATTCTAGAGATATTTGACTTCATAAATCAGGGACCACAGATCTAAAAGCAAAGCTATAATTTGAAGCACAGAAAACTTAAACATGTTTTCCAAATAGTAACAATGTGAAGTTAATTCATCAGCTGGGACTGTCAGTAAAAAGGTGTCAAGCTGCTATTAAAAAAAAAAATACCAACCTAAACTAAGGCTGGGGAGACCTGGAGACCTAGAAAGAACCCATGAAATAAAAAATGAAAATCCAGAACAAATTCAATCCATCTTCTTTATCCTGTCCTCTCAAGGTGTTGTAGCCTTTCTTTCTCTTGTAACTTTTCTTCATCTCCCCATTCCAAAAATAAAAACTGACATGTATTATCAGTCTTGCTCTCTTCTCTTCTAACAGTACATCCCAGGAAAAGGAAAACAAAATCATGATAGCATTTCTTTTGTATTTTATGTATCTTTTTCTCATATTCACACTACAAATATTTATTGGACATCTAGCATACATGTCATTGTCCTAGGATAGCAATTTTAAGTACCAAGATTATGTTTTCAGTGTTGTTCTGCACAGCATAAAAATGCAAAATAATAACAATTTAATAAGCAAGAATAAGAAAAAAGAGAAGGAATAAAATAAATCCTATTTTAAATATTTTATCTTGAGAAACTAAGAATACTTACGTTCACCTATTACTTTCTGAGTCTTTTAAGTCCCTTAAGAATAATAGACAAGAAAGGCATTCTCTAAGACATTGACAAAAATTTCATTAGAATGCTGTGTATTATGCATTGGCATGAATACTTTCAAATATGCCTTTGAATATAATTATTACATATTAATTACAGTAAGTATGAAATTATTACATTTCAAAATGGGGGCAGGAGAAAATAGGAGCAGTGGCTGAGACAGGCTACAGGGGGAGCTCTAAGTTGTGCATAATTTTTCCATTTATAGATCTGAATTCACTTGAAAACTCAGGATGCATGTTTATGATTTACACTCCTTTTTGCATGTATACTATATTTCATTTAGAAGTTTATTGCCTAAAAGTTATATTTCTAATTGCTTAGCTTGCCACCCAAAAAAATGTTGAGATATATTTACTCATGTTACAAATATATTATTTCAACTCTCCAAAGTCCTTTGCTAAATAAAGAAGTAAGAAAATCCATTTTGCAACACTCTGTCTGGCTCTGAGGAATTTGATTATGTTAGCAATGTATATACAAGACAAAAGAAATTTTTATAATTTACTCAAATAAAATCCTCTAAGGTCCTCACAATAATATATCTAGAATCAATTCTAATTTACACTATCCTTGAGGAAAACATTTTATTCAAAGAATAAAGCAACAGAGAGGTGTGTATGTATTTGTAATTTCACCAAAATCAAATCTGATCAAAATCAAATTTGGCTGATATCCAACGGGAAAAGGATTGTGTCAGGCTTAGAAAAACCAGTTGTGAAAACTAAAAAACAAATTTAAAAAAAAAGAAAAACCAGTTGTGAAAACAGAATTGAAAATTCTTGTCTGCTATTCTTGCATATTTTATGTACTTATACTAGCTGAAAATCTGTTCTGGCATAGAGTGTTTTCAAAGCCAAACGGAAAATGATGTTTACCTTCACTTGAATTGCACACTGTTAAATCACGCACCAAACAAGTTTTTCCTAAAGAAATCTTGGGTGATGAGCAAGAGTAAGAACGTGAGCGAACTCCAGAAAGCAATGATTCCTAAAAGAGAGTATAATAAACCTTTTAAATATTTATACATGAGATCTGAAAATGTATGTCCACTACCTCGAATGTTACTAAATTAGCACCTCTGAAAACAGATTCAACCTGAACTTTTCTGATACAATCTCATTATGTGTTTTTGTTTTCCTCTCACAACTTTTAAAATGTTATTGTCATCTTAATACTTCAGTAACCTTCAGTCTGGGGAGTAGTTCCTGTATATACTATAGAATACGACTGTAATATTCTAGCCAAGTTGACTAAAAATAAAGTCAAATGACTTTTTCTTTGTATATTCAACAATGAATTTGACTTATTATTTTTACCTGAGGTATCAGTTATTTTGTTATTTTATACTGTAGTACTCAAAGAAAATTCCATATTAACTGAGATTTCTATATTTAAGGATTATTAGAGGATAGAGGAACAGCTACTTACAATTATAAGAGTTTATTAAACTTCCAAACCACGATTTAAATTTATAATGTTAGCTGCAATGTCTAGGGGAAAATATATCAGGTTAATATACAAATCCTTCCAGTCTGTACTCAATTTTTTATAGACCTCCCATCTAGCATGTTCTGTGATAGATGTTTGAATATCACTCATTTATATATCCTTAATATTATTACTTTTAAATGACCTACCAGTTTTGTTCCTGTTTTCCCAATTACTTACTATTCCTACTATTAAATTGGCAACATACATGAAAATGCAAGATGGCAAAATCATTAAAACATGGTTTTCTTATATGTTCCAGAAAATTTAAGTAAATATGCAATAGAACTCCATTAAAGTCATTTATAGTACCCAACTTCTATCCTATAAAAGTCTTATTGGATTGATCTTGCCCATGCATTTTTAAGATATCACTTAAGGTTAAGGCTAAAAGAAAATAATGCAAAATTCTTTACTAAAATTAAACCATCAGAAACTGACCATCACAAGCATTGGTCTCTTTTGTTCCCTCTACGTAAAAGTACATGGTTACTCTAACTTCATTAGTTTAGTTGAAGAGCCTGGAGAAAAGTTGAAAATAGAAGCCTACCCTTGCTTCAAAGGGCCTTGGGCTGTGGCTCCTATTTTATTAGGGAGCACCTACTGGGCCTGAATGTCAAGAAGGCCCACCAGGTTGTCCTATAACCCTAAACAGTGAGCTGGCCACCAAGGGTCCTCCCCAAATGCCATTCTCTCCACTTAGGTCATGTATGCATGGTAACCATTTGTCAAGACAATGGTACTTTGAAAATTGTCCAAAACTTTGGCAGAAAGTTATACTGGGTAATTACAGAGGCAAAGTAGTTATATTTATGGGATAGTTTCTTCCTAAAAATGAGCAACATGAAACTGTTTCACAAAGACTGAATTATTTTTCAACATAATTGAAAAACTGTTTCACAAAGACTGAATTGTGGTGAACTTTTCAAAATTCCACTCAAAATGCAAAACTAAGAAGTATCTACATAACAACCATATACATTTCTCATTATCCAGAAATAGCACATGACCTTCAGATGCAAAAGATTATGGCAGCTCTACAGGTCCTAGAGCAGAGGGAAGAGGATGCAGGATCTGTGCTCAAAAGACCCAGAATTGATTTCTGATTCTATCATCAAGCTGATGATACACAGCTGGGCAAAACTGTAACCTGTCCAGAATCTCATCTACTCAAAAAAATAACATTAAATAAAACCCCTACTTATGTAACAGGTGAGTTATGAAGCAATTATATATTTTGTACAGACATAAAACATATTTTATATATCATAGGGCATGCTACAAGAATAAGGTATTATCGTAACAACCATATGTTAGAAGGAGAAGTTTTGCCATAGCACACATTTTTTATGGTAAGAAGTTAACAAGGAGAAAATAACAAATCAATTAGTAAAAAAAATATGCTCAAACACTAAAGGGCTTTCTTACATTCAGAGGAATGTATTTAGTTTTTGAATAAATAAATAACCAGAAAAACAAGCACACCTAAATGAAACTCCAATGTGAAATTACCAACAAGAGAAAACCTGGCCCTGAAGGAAAAGTTGACGAAATTTGTAATGTTCCGGATTAGTTCAGGCAGCCAGAAATGCTCAATAAACACCACGGCTACCTTATTAACATCAAGCACCTCATCACCAGGGCCACACAATGATTTACATGAGCAAAACAAGTTTGTCCACTTGAGCTCATTTAGTACTCCTGGTTTTTCCTCTCTTTGCTTAAGAGATGATGGGAGAAATCACTGTATGAAATGATACATTTCTAAGTATATGAAAGAAAGGGGGCACATACTCATGATGAATTAATGAAAATATAAATCAGCCTTTTTGAGCAATTACGATTATAAAAATTAAAACAGAGTGGGAAAGATTAAAAAGACTCAATCAGATATCACATGGGTCTCAAAAAAATAGTTCATGTGTATGAATAAAATATAACCTGTCTTTCAGATACAGATGGGTAGATTTAGGCAACATATTCTTCACACTTGAAATAAACCAAATTCATACCTTCGACTGTAGATTACTTGACAGAGAAAGTGATTCAGCCCGGGAGATACTAAAATCCGGTTCAGTGTTAGTCTCAAAAGAGTCCAATTCATCCCCACTAGGAATCCCAGTTCTTGAGGAGCTCTGAGACCCTGGAGTGTAACAGAGGTGTGACCGCTCAGAACGTCCTTCCCCTTCACTGTCAGCGTCCAAGGCATCAAGGCTAGAACTAAAGCACAAAGCCAGTAAGTATGTAAAGAAGCAAGAAATGATGCAGAGAGTCACTGGTTTCTTCAGTCTCTCATTTGGGTGGAGCGCAATAGATATTCATTTAATTTCCAACTAGTATTTAATTAGCATTTTTCTCCTCCCTCCAAATCTCTTTTTAAACAAAATTTTATGTTACTCCAAATGAACATTCCTATCCTGCAAAAGCCATTTCTTTCTTTGAGACAGAGTCTCACTCTGTCGCCCAGGCTGGAGTGCAGTGGTGCCATCTTGGTTCACTACAACCTCCACCTCCCAGGCTCAAGCAATCCTTCCACCTCAGTCTTCTGAAATGCTGGAACTACAGTCATGTGCCACCACACCTGGCTAATTTTTGTGATTTTTGTGTTTTCTGCCATGTTGCCCAGGCTGGTCTCAAACTCCTGGGCTCTATGGATCCACCCACCTCAGCTCCCAAAGTGCTGGGATTGCAGGAATGAGCCACCACACCTGGGGCGAAAGACATTTCAAATACCTGAAGAAACAAAAGCTGGTTTGAGTTAGTACTAACCTCACCACTTCTGTTTCATAAATATAATTATTGATATCACAAATCCCAAATGGTAACCCATCAAATATTTAAAATGCTGATAGAAAAAGAGGCACTAGGCTGTTTGCAGGGAAGCCTCTGGGGGGGGATTTACATGTGACTAAACGGCAGAAGTAGCATTCTCTCCACTGTCCCCCAGTTGGGAAGCTCAGGAGGGCAGAGGCACACCCAGGAGAGATGTGTGAAGGTACCATCCATTCGCCCCAGGGCCATGTGAAGACACAGTTAAGAAGTGAGTTGTCCAATTTCCCAAACATGTCATACTAAATGATCATTTTTAGAGGTTTAAAAAAAATGATTCCGTTGAAAAATCTACCTTAGAACCAGGTAGTAATTCTACTTGACAACAACTTTTTCCTCATTTAATTTTCATAACCACAAAATTAAAAGGAAAGTATCTGACCTTCCACATCCAAGGTCTATTCCATAACATTACATCTTAAACTATTCAAACTTGGAGGCCAACAGCTTTCCTGGGTGCATGTTAATGCATGAAGCATTTCAAATGTGCATTTCGTTGATTTTCTTTTTGGTTGTTACAGTTCTGGAGTTAAAATTTCAATAACCAAAAAGTGAAACTGTCTTGATTTTAAATATGAAAACCAGAAAATGAAAGTCTGAATTAACCCGTTTGCGTTTTTTTTTTTTTTTTTTTTTTTTTTTTTTTTTTTTTTTTAATTACCATAGGCTATTTAATGGACACAGCAAGTCCACTGAGTAAATGGTATGAGTCCTGGTCTTACCTACCATGCCTCTAATACAAACACAGAGCAGTTTCTAATCCTTGAACCCTTTCACTGGCAATACTGGGTACCAGAAAACCCAGCAGTGAGAAGCAGCCCTGGCTAGCACCACTGAGGATTTCCAAAGTGGGGTTTTCTTCTTTGGGAACTCATTGAGGGGCAAGATGAAGGCCTTGGCATAGAGAAGAAGAGCACAAATTAGAAGCGGACTTCACACTTTACCTCAATTAAACACCCAAATATCATGGAGTCTATTTGACTATTTCTCATAAAACGCTGAAACTTCATGTTAAGAATGTCTTCCTAGTAAATGCTAGTGCTTTAAATGCTACAGGAAATGTATTATGTTGGTGCAAAAGTAATTGCGATTTTTACACCAACCTAATAAATTACAGGTATTTCCAGTTGCTACTTGGTTTCCTGGTACAACAACAATCTGAGATGGAAGGAGACCTCAAGGAGGGTCGAAGCTTCCTGAAGTCTTACACCTCAGCACTTGTCTTTCAACTTGTGATCTCTGTACTAATGAAAAATAATTCTTCAAATGATTGGCGGCCCTCAATAATATCCGATTTTAACACAAGCCTTTTCAGTTACAGATGGCATTTCATCATCACTATGAATACGCCCTAGAAGTACCAGTATTTTATTTTGCACACTATAAAACATTGTTCCTATTCATTCAAATGGGGCTGCTATTTTTCTTTGTTAAGCTATTAGCCTAAGATATTGGCAGCACAGGCAATATTCTTCAGGACAACCTCTAGGTTCTTGTTTTATGATATTATTTTTCTAATTCCCAGTAGTGGGATAGGAAATCAATTCATTAGGTTGTGACTAGAGGTTTTTTTTTTTTTTTTAATAGAGAATAGAAAATATCAGTATACAGTCCACATGTCATTGTAAAAGGCTTTACTTAAATTTTATGTGAGATGGGCTATGCTCACAGTGTGACATGCATTTCTCACTGTGGATTGCAGTTTCAAAAAAAGATTTGAAAAATGCAGGCCTTAGAATGAAACAAACACTTGTCTACGGTTTAATTTTTTGTTGTACAGTATTTTTGAATTAATGTTTTATTACTTATATTCCCCTTGCGGCTTCTCAAAACAGTTACTACGTTTAAATAATATAATATAATGGTTACATAGTGTGCATATTTTAGTTTTCATCAAAATATTCTTTTAAACCTTAGAAAATTTAGGACTCAGGTCCCAGTCAGCCATGTTCTTATATTAACTCCAGTTTTTACTGTGTCCCCCAAAATTTCTCCTTCTAGAAGTTTCCAGCCTCTAGTGCTATTATCTGCTTATTAACAAATTCAGTGCCTTTCACTTTGAGTTTGTTATCAGCTGTGCTTCCTACCACGACGTCCACTGGAAGGAGGGCCCCACAGCCACCCTAGGGCTTTCCAAGGATTGCGACTTCTCTCCCTTCATTCCTACATTTTTCAGAGGAGAAGGAGGGCACGGGAGATGAAGTCAGCTCATGGAACCAACCAGTTTTTTCTGTAAAATGGCTTCTCCTTCTTCTCCTGGCTTCCTCCCTTTCCCCCAAGCAGTGACATCTTCACAGAGGCTTCTAATTATCTTTACTCAGAACAGATTTTTTTTTCTAAATCATATTCTACAAAGGAAAAATTCTGTCTGTAGCAGTGAAATGTTTAAACTTTTCAAGGCAAGACCATGATCAGAAAGTATAATTTAGATACTCTGCAAGAATCTGCATAAGGATTAATAGAACAAAGAGACCAATTGTGTCTTTTCCATGCTGTATTCCTAGAGGGCTTCTTCTAAAGAACTTTTTCATCTCTTGCGATCTGGGGGCTCACAGATTTTTTTTTTTTGAGACAGATTCTCGCTCTGTCCCCAAGCTAGAATACAGTGACGTGATCTCTGCTCACTGAAATCTCTCCCTTCTGGGTTCAGGCTATTTTCCTGCCTCCTCAGACCCACCCCTGAGTAGATGGGATTACAGATGCACGCCACCACGCCCAGCTAATTTTTTGTATTTTTAGTAGAGAGGGAGTTTCACCATGTTGGCCACCTAGGCTGTTCTTGAACTCCTGACCTAAGGTGATCCACCTGCCTCGGCTTCCCAAACTGCTGGAATTGCAGGCATGAGCCACCACACCCGGCCACTTGACAGATCTTAAAGATCCACTGGATGTACTTATCACCTAGAGCTCAATCTATTTTTGCAGAAATACAGAATCTTGTACAGAATCTTGTCTGGACTGGTAGTCTTTTGTCCCAAGCAGACATGTGGACAGTTCAAATTAGTCTATCACTTCAAATTACAGTTGTGACTACCCAGCATCTACAAAACAATAATTCACAAACTGTAAATCTAAAGCAAGTCTTGTATTATTTACACGTCAACTACAACCCTTAGTACCAATACATGCTAAAGTTTTACAACCTCAAATTTCTTATTGTGCTGTATCTCAGTGATGGGCACCTACTGATTGCTGGTTCCTCTCACTTTCTCTCCCCTCTAATCTATTAACTCTCTGCTGAACACTCATTCACCTATTCACATGTTCATTCATAGAGAAATCTTTATACACATACTCACATATGTGTATTTTACATTCACTTTGATTGTGATTTTATATGTGAAAATGAATATATAATCACATGGGTAGGATACGGGGAAAAAATAAGCTGCTCCCTAAGGAAACCATGATCAACAGGATAAAATGAAATTGTGGAAATTGGCCTGTTCCTTAAAGAAAATAGACAGACAGACAGATACAGGTATACAGATACGGACATGTACATGTGTGTACGCACACTAATATATGCAACCATATCAGATGTAATAAAACTATCATTTGAATGACTTTTTATATATACAAGAAAATATAAGGTAACTGAAAGTAAAAGAAATATAAGATAAATTTTATATTATAAAATATATATTATATAAAATAAACATTCATGAGCCCACCAACTTGAAACTTGAATACTAGCCATCTACCATGGAAACTCTCTTACGGTCCATTCCATTCCCATATCCCTATTTCCCTCCCTGGATGTAAGAACTATCTGGAATTTAGGAATTTTTTTCCCCTTGATTATCTTGCTTTTCTTTTTTTCTTCTTTTTGAGGCAGGTCTCATTCTGTCGCCCAGGTTGGAGTTCAGTGGCACCATCTCAGCTCACTGCAACTTCTGCTTCTCAGGTTCAAGTGATTCTCCCACCCCAGCCTCCCAAGTATCAGGACCACATGTGCATGCTACCATGCCCAGCTAATTTTTGTATTTTTGGTAGAGATGGGGTTTCACCATATTGCCCAAGCTGGTCTCGAGCTCCTGAGCTCAAGTGTTCTGTCTGCCTTGGTCTCCCAAAGTGCTGGGATTATAGGCATGAGCCACCGCAGTTGGCATCTTGTTTTTCTTTATAGCTTATGCACATATGTAAGTGCCCTATAATAATATATTGTTTAATTTGCATTTTATAAAAATGAAATCTAACAAGGATTTGGGGCTTTTTTGTTCCTTCGTGCTTCTAAGATCTATGTTATTATGCATGCAGATGTAATTGTAGTTAATTCATTTTCATTACTTACAGTATTCCATGTGTAACTATATATTATTTATTTATCTATTCCACATTTGGGTTATTTCCTGCTGCTATAAATGCTCACATATAGGTTTCCAAGTACACAGGAGGAAAATGCATATTTGACTTTACAAGATAATGTCAAATTCTTTTCCCAAGTTATACAATTTTCTCTCCTATCATCTTTATGTAGGAATTTCCATGGTATGCATTCTCACCAAAACATGGGATTGCTAGGTTTTTAAATTTTTGCCAATCAAGTGAGTATAAACTGGTATCTCATCATGGTTTTTCCTTATTATATTTTAGTCAGTTTTCTTAGGTGTCTTACTTTCAAATCAATGAATATAGGAACCTAAAGGGGGACAACATTTTGATAAACAGATAAAAGTGGTAGAGAAAATAAAAAGTTTAAAACTAGAATTTTCCAAGTTTACCTATAAGGTTCTTTTATTTTCTACAGTTTTTCTCTACAATATAGGATCTTACCTTCTTTTCTTTAGATGACTTTGTTCCTTTTCAAATCCATGCCAACCAAAAGAAAGATTCAAGTTGGAAGTACGTGAACTCGATGGTGACATGAAGGACCGCTGGGCTTCGGTGTGTGCTGTCCCTTCGTCGTTCTCACTTAGTGGGTACACACTGGGGCTGGTTTCTGTAGGGAGGATGTGTTTGCTGCTCTGAGACCCCAGAGTGCAACCTCTGGATTCAGGGCTGGTAGTGGCAGTGATTCCCTCTATATTAATATAGCTGATATCCAAATCGCCAACCTGGAAGTTGAAAGAAAAACATTTCCTGAGTAAAAGCAGTTAAGATTGGCCTAGCTAAGAATAAAATTTTACCAATTTAAAAACTTCTGGCCAGGCACAGTGGGAAGCTGAAGCTGGCAGATGACTTGAGGTCAGGAGTTCAAGACTAGCCAGGCCGACACGGTGAAACCCATCTCTACTGAAAAAACAAAACTTAGTCAGAGTGTAGTGGCATGTGCCTGCAATCCCAGCTACTTGGAGGCCGAAGCAGGAGAATGGCCTGAATGGGAGGCAGAGGTTGCACCAGTGCACTCCAACCTAGGCTACACAGTGAGACACCATATCAAAAAACAAAACAAACAACAACAAAAACAACAACAACTTCTACCTTATTTATATTTTTTGTTTATTCTTGTTTTATGTAAACAGAGAATTATTTTATGTTTTGTTCACATGGCAGCTATCCCATAATTCACAAAAAGGAAGACAACTGAGTATTTTATAAAGTTGTTCCTCCCATAATTCACAAAAAGGAAGACAACTGAGTATTTTATAAAGTTCTTCCTCTATTACAAAACCAGAAGCTGATTATGCCTCTAACATTTTATGAACCACTGACTCAAAATGAGGGGGAAATGTTTTAGATACTTGAGGAAAAAACTAAAGACTATACAACTTTATTCAAAAAGTAGCTCATAGGAATCTGGGTAACCAAGGTAATAGTAGTCACGTAAATCTGAGTCTCATAAAAAGCAACACCAAACAAAAAGAACAAATAAAGCTACATAAAGCACATGTATATAGCATCATTAAAAGAAAGAAAATGCCCAAATTTCAAATTACCTGTAAGTAATAAAATCAAGCAAATCCAGCAGGCAAGCCGTTGTGTTCCTGCCATAAGACTGTCTAGAGAGTAAGGGGAGTCGGGGAAAATCTGAATGGCAGAGAAAGGATGGAACTAGTGAAGAGCCTAAGATTTACCTTAAAATGCTCACCAGAAAGAGAAAGCCCAACTGACATGAATGGAAAAGAATCCTAGCTGATCAAAGCACTTGCTCTAAGAAAGGCATACTTTTAAGTACTCATGATTTGAGGTGGCAGTCATCAAAAGGCATCATTTCTAGGGTGAGAACAGTAAAAAGGAAGAGTAACACCATTTAGAGATAGAGCAGTGAAGGGGAAAAAGAAGCAAAAGGGGAAATGTTAGGATCCTAAATCATCGAGCATCATCATAATTTATTAAAGCAAAAATCATTAATGAATGTTTAATGGGTAAAAGTCTAATAAGCAACAGGATATTTATAATGGCTTAAAATATCTCTTGACATGATACTTAATAATTTTTAAAAAACAGTAGTTTTACTAAAAAAGGAACTTGGCAGATGAAAGATATTAATAAAATCACCAGTAATGGGACAGATTGATGTCCTGTGCCTCCTGATACAATGCACTGAGAAGAACCCATCATCACTTCCATAGTATTCCTGCCAAACATGCCTAACCCAAATACAATTATGAGGAAATATCAGAGAAACCAAAACTGAAAGACATTCTAGCAAAAAACAAGAACAAAAATACTGGTCTGTATTCTTCAAAAATATCAGTGTCATAAAACGCAAAGCCTGAGGAACTGTCCCAGATTAAAGGAGTCTACAGAGACATGACAACTACATGTAACACATGTAATGGAATTTCTTTTGCCCCAGAGAACACCATTGGGACAACTCGCTAAAATTGAATAAAGTCTGGAGATAGCTAATAGTATTGTATCAATGACAATTTTATGATTTTTGTAACTGTACTGTGCTTATGTAAGAAACTATTCATGTTTTTAGGAAAATAGATCATCAAAGATTAAGGGGTAAAGGGACACCATATTTTTCATTTGTTCTCAAATGGTTAAGAAATATTTACAGACATATTTTAACTATTGGCATGCAAACGTGTGCACACATAACCACCCACTCAGGGAATGACAAAGTAAAATGTATTAAAATATTACCATTTCGGGAATTTGAGTAAAGGGTATGTAGGGATTCTTTGTACTGAAATTATGAAACAATTTTTTTTTTCAAAGTAGTTTATGTGACAAAAAAACAAATTTTTTTTTTTTTTTTTTTGAGAAGGAGCCTAGCTCTGTCACCCAGGCTGGCATGCAATGGTGCAATCTTGGCTCACTCCAACCTCTGCCTCCTGGGCTCAAGTAATTCTCCTGCCACAGCCTCCTGAGTAGCTGGGATTACAGGCATCCACCACCATGCCCAGCTGATTTTTGTGTTTTTAGTAGAGACAGGGTTTCACTGTGTTGGCCAAGCTGGTCTTGAACTCCTGATCTCATGATCAGCCCACCTCAGCCTTCCAAAGTGCTAGGATTATAAGCGTGAACCACCGTGCCCAGCCTGCAGAAATTTTTAAAATAACTTTCATCATGTGAATTTGCTCATCAGGAAGGTTGATTACCTTGAAAATTAATAGAGACATTAATATAAGCTAGTAATATTTTTAAGTTTCTTTGCCAGGTTGAGGAAGATAAAGGAACTTAGATAAGATTATTTTCAGACATTGCTAGAAAGTATTTTAAACATACAGAATTTGGACTCCTTACATTGTCCTTGCTATTCAAATAGATATGGGGGCAATATAAAAAGTACTACACTAATACAATGAACTTTGAGATTTTGTTGCAGATTTAGTTTTCGATGCACAACTTGGCAATCTGCTATGTTTCAGTTTGTTGAATTAGACCATTTGAGGTCTCTCTAAATGCATGCCTCATTTTTTTTTTTCGTTTTGGTTTCCCATCATTAAAGCAATATTTCTTTCACCTAGAATATTCCAAAATAAAAATTATATCTTGGTCAGGTGTAGTGGCTCATGTCTGTAATCTCAGCATTTTAGGAGGCCAAGGTGGGCAGATCATTTGAGACTAAGAGTTCACGACCAGCCTAGCCAACATGGCAAAACTCCATTTCTTCTAAAAATATCAAAATTAGCTGGGTGTGATGATGTACACCTATAGTCCCAGCTACTCTGGAGGCTAAAGCATGGGAATTGCTTGAGCCTCGGGGGTGGAGGTTGCAGGAGCCGAGATGGTGACACTGCACTCCTACTGGGTGACATAGCAAGACTCTGTCTCAAAATACAAACAAAAAAAGAAAATTATATCCTAACCTTTGATTTACCCAATCTTTGGTTTGGAAAATTTTGCATTTTTAACAAATCTTAGAACATATAAAAACATAATATATATGCTTTTCCCCACATAATATTGAGTCATTTATAGGTTTAGTTACTTATAAATGGAAATACCATAGTTATAGTATTCACTAAGGCTCAGAACAAAAAATACATAAGGAGTCAAAAAGTATTTTATTTAATCAGCTGAGAAAATATGGCAGCAAATTTAATCTATTAAAATCAAAACATGACAAATATATATATATACTGAAAACAATCAAACATCAATGAAGGAAACTGAAGCAACACAAATAAATGGAAAGATATCCTATGTTCATGGACTGAAAGAATCCATGTTGTTAAAATATCCATACCACCCAAAGTGACCTACAGATTCTATGTAATCTCTATGAAAATTACAATGGCAATTTTTCACAGAAATAGAAAAAAAATCCTAAAATTTGTATGGAATCCCAAAAGACCCAAAATAGCTAAAGCAGTCTTCAGTAAGAAGAACCAAGTCAGAAGCATCACATTGCCTGACTTAAAATTATATTACAAAGATATGGTAATCAAAACATTATGTTACTGACATAAAAATAGGCACATGGGCAAATGGAACAAAATAGAAAGTCCAGAAATAAACCCACACATAAATATGTCAACTAATCTTCAATGAATGTGCTAAAAATATAAAATGGAGAAAAGATAGCTCCTTCAATAAATGATACTATGAAAACTAGATAGCTACATGCAAAAAAATGAAACTGGATCCCTATCTTACAACATACACAAACATCAACTCAAAAAGCACCAAAGCTTTTAACATAAAACATGAGGCCATAAAACTCCTAGGAGAAAGCACAAAGAAAAAACTAGTTGACATTGGTTTTGGCAATTACTTTTTGGATGTGACACCAAAAGCACAAGCAAGAAAAGCAAAATAAATAAGTATGACTACATCAAACCCAAAAACCTCTGCACAGCAAAGGAAACAACAAAATAAAACAGCAACTTATGGAATGGGAAAAAATATTTACAAGCCACGCATCTGATAAGGAGTAAATACCCAAAATATATAAGGAACTCATGCAACTCAATAGCAAAAAAACCCCACAAATAACCAGATTTAAAAACAGACAAAGGACCTGAATAGACAATTTTTCCAAAAAATGACACACACAAATGGCCAATAGGTATATGCAAAAGAGCTCAACATCACTAATCATCAAGAAAATGAACAAAAGTGCAATGAGATACCACCTCACACCAATTAGAATGGCTATTACCAAAAGGATAAAAAGATGCTGGAAAGAACATGGAGAAAGGGGAACTCTTAAACACTGGTGGGAATGTAAATCAGCACACAACCACAGTGGCAAACAGTATGAAGGTTCCTAAAAAAATTAAAATATGACTACCATATGATCCAGCAATCCCACCTTGGGGGGATTATATCCAAAGGAAACAGAATCTCTATCCGAAAGAGATGTCTGCACTCCCATGTTCAGTGCAGCACTATTCACAGTAGCCAAGAGATGGAATCAACCTAAGTGTCCATCAACAGTTGAATAAAGAAAATGTGGCACATGTGTGATTTTCTGAAAACAGGAGAATAAAAACAGTGTTTTTTCTATTCTCTTGCTCAACAATCAACACAGAACTCTTCCTTGACTGAATGTGTGAGGCTTTCCCCGATACTCAGCAAGGAAGCAATACTCTGCTGAATTTCCTCTAATTCAATTCAGTTCAGTTCAATTCTGGCACTATCAACCTGGGGGAGTCAGGTCCTACAGGCCTCAGTCCCACAAGACTACCCCACTTCCAATGACAACTACAAGCCCCAGATTGTTTTATCAACCAGCTATAAAATGAGGTTCCCAGAGACCCCTTCTCAGGTTCAATCAATTTGCTAGAGCAGCTCACAGAACTCAGGGAAACACTTATGTTTCCTGGTTTATTATAGTGAATATTACAAAAAATACAGAGAAACAGCCAGATGGAAGAGGTGCTTGAAGAATCCCGGAAGGGGCAGGGAGCTTCCTTGCCCTCTACAAGTGCACCACCTCCAGGAACCTCCATGTATTCAGCTATCCAGAATCTCTTGAACCCAGTCCTTTTGGTTTTTATGGAAGCTTCATTATACAGGCATGATTGGTTAAATTATTAGTTATTAGTGATCAATTTAACCTTCAACCTCTCCTCCCTCTGTGGATGCCGGTGGCGGAACTGAAAATCCCAATCTTGTAATCCTGCCTTGGTTTTTCCTGTGACCAGCTCGCATCCTGAAACTACCTAGGGGCTGCTAGCCACCGGCCTCATTATTAGCATACAAAAGACATCAACTTTGGAGATTCCAAGGATAAGTACAGTCATTCCTCACTTAAGTATGGAGATATGTTCTAAGAAATGCATCCTTAGGTTATCTTCTTATTACGTGACCATCACAGAATGTACTAACACAAACCTGATTGATAGTATAGCCCTCTACACACCTAGGCTATATGGTGTAGCCTATTTCTCCTAAGCTACAAATCTATACAGTATGTTACTGTACTGATTACTGTAGGCAACTGTGACACCACGGTAAGTACTTGTATATCTAAATATAGAAAAGGTACAGCAAAAATATGGTATTATAATCTTATAGGATCACCCTTGCATATGCACTCCACAATTGACCAAAATGTGACAGATTCCACATACACGTGCGTGCACACACACACACACACACACAGGAGTATTATTCTGCCCTAGAAGAGAAAACAACCTGCCATGTGTGACAACATGGATGAATCTGGAAAACATTATGCTAACTAAAATAAGCCAAACACAAAGACAAATACTGCATGGTCTGACTTATATGTGGAATGTAAAAAAGTCAAACTCATAGACACAGTGAGTATAAGGGTGATTACTAGGGGTTAGAGGGTGGGGGAAATGGTGAGATGTTGGTCAAAGGGTACAAACTTTCAGTTACACAATGAATAAGTTCTTGAGACCTAAGGTACAACATAGTGACTATAGTTAATGCACTGTGAACTTGAAATTTGCTGTAGATCTTAAGTATTCTCACTACAAAAATAAATTAGTATGTGAGATGATATATATGTTTAATAAGCTTGTGGTCATTATTTAATAATATGTACATGTATCAAAACATTACATTGTATATTTTATGTAACATAATAAAGCTGGAAAATAATAAATACCAGAACATGGCTAGAACACACCAAGTCCAATTACCCTGTGGTTTGGTTTGGCTCTGTGTCCCCACCCAAATCTCACTTTGAATTATAATAATCCCCATGTGTCAAGGGTAGGACCAGGTGGAGATAACTAAATCATAGGAGTGGTTTCCCCCATGCTGTTCTCTTGACAGTGAGTTCTCATGAGATCTGACGGTTTAATAAGGGGCTTCCCTCTTTGCTCAGCACTCATTGTCTCTCCTGCTGCCCTGTGAAGAGGTGCCTTCTGCCATTTTGTAAGTTTCCTGAAGTCTCCTCAGCCATGCAGAAGTGTGAGTCCATTAAACTCTCTTCTTTATAAATTACCCAGTCTCAAGTATTTCTTCACAGCAATGTGGAAGGGACTAATGCACCCTGTATCTTGAAAGTGTCCTCAGAACTCCCACTCTGTCCTATACTCCATGCCCCATTCTAGATTTCCATAACTAGGACTGACATTCAGTTAGTTTATACCAAAACAACTATACCAATTATTTACAGTTGAAGTCCATTCTGACATATTGGTGTCTCTGTCATTATGACTACCATCCCAACCTGTGCTGTATTTGATACAACAGTGCTTTGTAACACAAAAGGAAAATGCAGAGATGTGCTACCAAAGGACTGAAATTCAGATCTAGACAGAAAAAGTTTAGATCACAGAACACATCTATGAATAGCATAAAATATATGCATACTAACAACATAAAAAGGTTAAGCATCTTATGCCTAGTGAGTAGAAAAGGTACATGTTATATGGGGATTAAGTTTTAAGGTCAGTGCATAAGGCAGAAATTGTGTTGTCAAAACTACCCTTGAAAATCCCTTAAATTCCCCATATATTAGAGTGTTTAGAAATCTTCAGATCTATATTTTAATTTTTATACATGCCAAAATTTGAAGATCACTGAGCTAGAGAAAAGAACAAAAGACAACAAGATGGAGTACATTCAAACCATCTGCTTCTGTGAGATTTAATTCAAAAGTCTCTATCAGGGAATGGGTAGAAAGTTCAAAAGGATTCCAGCTTCCTTATAAAAAGATGCTAGTCTGTATTAATATGAAAGCTCTACAATCTTGGTACACTTTAGTAGATGTGTTGTAAAGATTAACCAAGTAATTTATGTGGCAGTTTCCTGTGGTGCTGGGACCAAGCACCTGCTCATTACATTTGCTGGATTTGAATACAAGTATTGCAGAATCAGGTCATATACATACTGTTTTTTGAAAAGCTGTAGAGGAGACATTGGTCACACAGTTGTCATTTCCTACTTGGGCCACAAAAAAGTGCTCTCACACTCTTCCCATTTGGCTGCGCCTCATGATCCCTCCCTGACAGTGCCCCTTGGCTAAGTAAAGTGTGTTGTGTGCTGACGTAAGCACCTAAGTTAAATGCTTAAATGCTCATAAAATGAGACTCCACAGCAGCATCCTCTTCTGCTGCTCTTACGCTAAAATTTTCAAAGGAACACAACAATGTTGAATCTATTTCTTCCAAACTCAGGTTTTGAGAGAGGTAGAGATCCTCCTGTAATGTCAGTTGGGTCTTACCTGATCAATCACCATACAGTTAGCATAGACTTCATCACCTCCGTTCAGCATGTCAGAAAGCCGGCCTGCAGCAAGCAACATCGAGGGTGGCTTGGATTTCTTTAGGACATCGAAGGAGCGATCTAGAGGACAATAATGAAAACAGAGTAAATAAAAAAGAAGGGACTTATTTTACAGTCAAGCTTTACCTTCTTAGACCATAAGAAAAAAAGGTGAGTGCATTTTTTAAATGGCTTTTTGCTAGATTTTAAGATCTACATGCAAGTAATTTTGTATCTATATCTAAACTTCAGTTATCTAGAATTTTCATGTAGGATGAAAAGTTCTAGACAGATAAATATTTGCCCACTTCAAGCATCATTTTCCCAATCATTGGAGGCCTTTGTAAAATCAATTAAATCTTTACTTTCAATTTCTACTAGATTTTTAAACTAAACTTCATTTCCCTTTATTAACAACTAAACTTGATTTTCCTTTATTAATAACTTAGAAGTATTAGTGACTGTACTGTGATCCTCAGTTTCCACTAATGTGCTCAGATTAAATGACCCTCTACCAAATGACCCAAGAGAATACACTGCCTAGCAGTTGTGGCTTGGTACTGCTTGCTAATATGCAGAATCTCACACGTGGAGAATTTGCCTTCTTTTTTGGTTACGGAAATGTTTTTGCTTGCTTTCATGTTTCAGCTTTGTTCCAAATAGATGAGGCTGCCTAAAATTGAGTCCCAGAGAGTTAAGCTGTTACTGTGTTTGTAGAGAATGAAGAGTTAAAGGCAATAAAACATTCAAGCTACAATGCTTTGTGTCCTGTGACCTTGGCTAGTTTACCAGCCCTCCAGATATCTTCACAAAGTTCCCTCATCCATAAAAGCGGATTACTATTATGCTTTCCTCATACTGTGGTTATGAGGATTAAGGGTGTTCAGACATGTACAGACTTGACACATGCCTGGCACAAAGTGCTCATTTGATTATTTGTCAGAATTACTATTATATTTGTAATTATTATTATGAATAGTGATTTTTAAGCATGTTCTGTGTGAAGTGCAAAGTTAATACTAATCATAGCATGTTATGGTAATGACAGATTTTCAATATGTGTAAATGACTTTCACAGGGCAGATTCAGTGTTATACCTATAGTAAATTCCACCCTCACTTACATCCCAGTAAGTTGTCTTGAATGAGTACAAAGGGGTATTACTGCTGTTACCCCTCTTAACTATGTCATAACATAAAATCTGGTCAGCCCATGGGAGTGAATTAGGAAATTAAAAAACATTAATAACTGTTGGGTTGATGTACCATGAGCAAAAAAAAAAAAAAAAAAAAAAAATTCATTCCTTTTTGGAAAATAATGATAACATTATAAAAGTTCCAAAGTTGTATGAATTGTAGTTGCATAAGTCAAATGGCCCTGGTTTCAGATTCTGCTTCTAAATCTATCTCTTCCCCATACAGAGCACTGAAGTGTGAGATTCATTAAGCTCCTGGAGGAAACGTACAATGTGAAAGGAAAACATTTTCTTCTTATATATACAACGTATTCTTTTAGCAATTTATTTCAATAAGTAGCAATAAACAAAGCCCACAAATACTTTATAAGTATAACCTTTATAATTCATTGCTATACATTTTTATTCTAATTACACAAAAGAAAAGCAAGGTTCCAAAGCTTACATAACAAATCAAGAACCTGACAAAACACTTTCAGTATGTTCTGAAAAAAGAAAATATTTACTCAATTGTCATTGTACATCATGTTTTAAAAACAATCATAAATAGCTCCACATGGCCTTCTGAAGTGTAACTAATCCAGATTCACTGCTCTACAGTGTCACAGGTTCACAGACTATAACACCTGACATTTCTGCCATCACATTTGAGGGGCTGTTCCTGCTCCTTTTTAACTGCTGCCAAATTAAGATTTCATTGATAACTAGGCTGACCTAAGAACAAGATATTTAACAGGACAGTTGTAAACAATCAATGGATCTCAGTTTAAAAACATAGAACCAAGTGAAGTATGACCCCAAATTGTGTGGTGCCAGTGAATGCATCGTCCAGTCACCAACAGCCATATTCTTAACCACCACAAGAGAACTCTATTCAAAACCCGACCGCTCGCTTCATGGATAGGCCAGACCAAAAACTATAGCTATTTCCACATCTACAGGTAAAAGGCACTTGGACTCAAACTTCCTGCTCAACAAATCTCCATGGCCCTATGTGGCAGGTATGAATCCGTAAGGAGATCATGTCTAGCAATAAAATAAACTAAAAGATGGTAGAGTCTGATTACTTTGTTCAATTTGGGATCTAATTTGTTTTCTGCATGGTTAATTTGATTAGAGTTTTAGAAAAAATAATGTAGTCTAGTTATGAAGACAGGTCCACATTGTCTTAATTGCAATTCTGAAATCCAGAAAGCTCTGAAAATCAGACTTTTCCCCATACGTTTGGTTCAAAAACATAGTCTGTGGCACAATCTGATCTAAGTCCATATTGGACCACGTATATTCTTTATTTGCTCTACTTGGTGTCAATGTCATACATTTTGCTGCAGGAATATTAATAAGCTTGATGATAGCATTGCACCATGTCTCCTATGGGAGTCATACCATATCAGTATAAATACCAGGCCAAAAAGATCTGAAAATTCTGAATTCCAAAACAAATCTTGTTCTAAGAGTTTCAAAGAACAGATTATGGATCTCTACAAAATCAGCCATCTTAGATATTAGAGCAACACTTCCCAAGGTTTTGTCATTCTTCTACCAAATTCACAATTTTGCCAAATTTACATATCATCTATATTATTTCACAGATATATTCACCTATATTATTTAGTGCCCATCTTTAAATGGACTCACCTGTTTTCTTTTAAATAAAATTAATTTAAGAAATACTTTAATAGTAAGAAAAATCTTATCTCCACTGTACACAGGAAGCCTGTATTATTCCTGTCAAAAGTAGAAGGGAATTATATGTACTGAAATAATGCAAACAAAACAATGAAATTAGATTCTGACTAAGTAGTTGCCTATCAAAGCTGAGAGTCTGAGAGGCCTGCTCTCTTTGTTGTAAAGGGAGATTCTGAAGGATTCAAGAAATGTTAAAGATGCAAGGGTACCACACTGAGACTTTCTCCTTCAATCAACAGAAAGATAAAAAAAATACCTGCCTGACTCTATGATTCAACGTCATCTTTGTGTTTATGGCCATCTCCAAGATGAACTGTTCTAGAGGAATTCACCCTACATTTTGAAAAGGTGGCCTATGCCGGATGTGGTGGCTCATATCTATAATCCCAGTACTTTATGAGACTGAGGCAGGTGACTCACTTGAGCCCAGGAGTTCAAGACCAGCCTGGGCAACATGACTAAATCCTGTCTCCACTAAAAATACAAAAATCAGCTGGGCGTGGTGGCACACACCTGTAGTCCCAGCTGGGAGGTGGGGGCTGCAGTGAGCTGTAATCATACCACTGCACTCCAGCCTGGGCGACAGAGTAAGACCTTGTCAAAAAAGGAAGGGAGGGAGGGAGGGAGGGAAAAAGTAAAGTTGGCATAGCCCATGTCATCATCCCATCACTGGGGTAATGGCTCCACTGAGACAGTAAGTCTTGTGAATAACATGGGTGTGCAAGGGCATAATCAAGCAGTGAAGTGTCTCCTCTCTAATTCTGCCACCTAGAACCTGACATCTAGTTTTAGTCACTTGCCGCAATTATTAATAACATTGGCACAAACATCCCTTTTAGTACTTTTCTGGGGCATACATAGCCTCCACTTGTCAAAGGACGCCTTAAGACAATAGGATCTAGAAGTGAACACAGACTCACAAACCAGAAAATGACACAGACTAACAGGACCACCACTCCTTTATTAACTTCAATACTGGCCACTGCAAATAATGGGCTTAAAACCAGAAGACTAATCATGAAAGGAAAATAAACCCTAAAGAACACCTTCAGGCCAGGAGCCATGGCTCAGGCCTGTAATCCCAGTACTTTGGGAGGCCGAGGCAGGTGGATCACCTGAGGTCAGGAGTTTGAGACTACCCTGGCCAACACAGTGAAACCCTATCTCTACTAAAAATACAAAAATTAGCTGGGGGTGGTGGCACGTGCCTGTAATCCCAGCTACTTGGGAGGCAGAAGAATTGCTTGAACCCGGGAGGCAGAGGTTGCAGGGAGCCGAGATAGCTGCACTGCACTCTAGCCTGGGTAACAAGAGCAAAAACTCTGTCTCAAAAAAAAAAAAAAGAATACTTTCAAGTTACCATCGGCTGCATACATTAAAGTGGCTAATTGCTCTACCGTGTTGCAGCCTATTCAAAGAAAAAGCTATAATAGTTTCCTGTTTTTTAAAGTGTTACAGCTCTTTTCAAATTTGTCTAGCAGCCTTTTTGGGTTTTGCCAGAAAGTCCCCCAAAAATAGTTTCTTTTTTTTAAAGATATCTTTTCAATACTTTCAAGAAATATGATTTTATCACTTCTATATGTAACTACTCCAGTAATAAATTAAGTGAAAAAGTTATGCTCCCCCAAAATGGACTGCTTTTTCAATGAACATATAGAAATAATTTGCAAGAAGAATCAGCTATTTGTTTTAAATTAATGCTGTCTTATAGGAAGTTTTTCTCAGCAAAAAACTAACTTTATAGTTTTGTTGATAACATTAATTTTTAATATTTGGTAAGCACATATTTCAAAGACAGTATAAAAGTAGCCAAAGCTCAACTTCCATTTAAAAAAAAATGGCTGCAGATTTTAAATTAGTAAAAAGCATTAGTGTGTTGCAGTGGTTAAAAGCATGAGCCCTGGACTTCCTGGTTCAAGTATCCACTCTACCATCTATTAGCTGTGTGACCTGGGGCAAGTTACTTAAGCTCTCTGTGCTTCCATTTCATGACCTATAAAATAAGGCAATAATATGTCTATCTCATAGAATTATTGTGAGAATTAAATGAGTTAATATTTTAAGTGATTAGAGCAGTTTTACTTAAGTGACAAAGTAAGCACTCTATAAATGCTTTATTAGTTATGCTTCCTAAATATTATTTCAACAGTAAATAAGGTTGTATAATTTTAGTTCTGATTCTTTTTAAAATTAATTT